CCGCTCTTCGTAGTCGCGCTACGGCCTGTCGAGTAACTTCTCGTTGTTTGACTTAAGGATATTTTATGACGCGCCCTAAGTAAATACATAATTGAGAATACCTGTTCGTACCGTTTTACAGATATTTAAATGAAAGTTAAATAAATCCCGGAAAGTATTGTGAAGTTAATATTTGAAGTAACTGCGATGGGTTTGAGCTTCAGGCAGTTTTTGCCAAGTTGTGATTAAACAATCAGTTTGGCGTTTATTTTTATCCTACGGCCTGCAAATTAAAATTAAAAAGTTCGAAATGTTATAAATATTCCTTGAGTTTGCCGTCCATTCAAAGAAGATTAAACAGTGCTCGGTATGTAAATACTATGAATGAAAGAGAAAACAGCTCACTTCAGTACCTCTAGTAGGAAAAACTTTCGAGTTCGTTTCGTTGCGTATTGAAAGTGTCATCGAAAAATTTTGTATGAAAAATTAAACAGCGCCCCCTAGGGCGGCTATAATATAGGGGGCGCTGTTTAATTTTTCATACAACATTTTTCGATGACACTTTGAATACGCAACGAAACGAACTCGAAAGTTTTTCCTACTAGAGGTACAGTACCTCTAGTACGAAAAACTTTCGAGTTCGTTTCGTTTGCGTATTCAAAGTGTCATCGAAAAAATTTGTATGAAAAATTAAACAGCGCCCCCTAGGGCGGNGAAAAACTTTCGAGTTCGTTTCGTTTGCGTATTCAAAGTGTCATCGAAAAAATTTGTATGAAAAATTAAACAGCGCCCCCTAGGGCGGCTATAATATAGGGGGCGCTTTTTAATTTTTCATACAAAATTTTTCGATGACACTTTGAATACGCAAACGAAACGAACTCGAAAGTTTTTCGTACTAGAGGTACTGCTATATTTAGCGTATCGAGTTATCAGCGAGCGCCGAGGACTCGCGTAATCGCTCGTCGAGTGCTCGCCCACTTCCGCGGAACTAATTTCCCGTTAACTATGCGGGCAAGTTTCAACAGTTCCGCGCGAGATTGTGCCATATTTGTGAACGAACTTAGATTCATTTACAAAGTGAACATACAATGTATGATATTATATTAATATGGAATTTATCATGGAACATTTAGCTAAGGCAATCGAACTCTACACATATAAGTAATATACCTAATGCCTCTTCGAAGCAATATTGTCGGATTCGGGTTGGAAGCAGTACATAGGTAATCTAGAAACAACCGGAAAGCATAAAACAGCAATAATTAAAATGTTCACGAAAAAGTTTCAAATTAATTTATTCATAAAATATCACCGCAATACGCAAAATGAATCGGAATTGCAATCGAATGAATTTAGCTTCAACTTGCAACTCAATAAGAATTCTCATGAAAAAGTGAAGGTCTGAAGATATTTTATTGAAATACTTAATTCAGTCCGTACTTTGAACGAATACGATAAAACGAATTGAAAAAATATTACCTTCACTTAGTCTATATACAATACATACATTAGGCACCAAAACAGAGGCTCTATTGGAACCATTATTCAGTTAAGGTATTGAGGGGCTATTGTGAAGTTGCCTAAAATGTGTTATGAATGAAAACTATTCTTCCTAAGGTTTTCATATACGAGTATAGCTTCTTTACTCAAAAATACGCTTTTGTGGCGGAAAATAGGGAGCAGGGCAAACAACATGGCGACAGCAGCAGCCAGCATTAAGCCTTTGAGAAAATGGAATTTGCTCCCTGTGAGTGGATACCACATAGTTGGGTGTCTATAATAAAATAGTGCTTTTCTCTATTGTCGTTATGGATTAAACCCACATAGTTTCATTTTTATATCACACTGAAAATCATGCTGAACTCTGCCTTATATTCTATGCTATAGCTGATAATCTTCCCATCTAGGATACTTTAAACGAGTCGATTATTGTTTAATATTACACAAAATCACTTCATAAATTCATTCGAGTTGATCGATTCAAATTGAGCAATTTAAAAAGCTAATTTTCAAGATATTGCGATATTAGGCAATTGGGTCGAGCGGGGAATTGGTTCCAATTTCATCGAAGCCGCTGTGAATTTATTATGTTTAAAGCATTTTATGCTATCATCAAAAATATGGAAAAGCTCTAGATTTAATAGAATTTCATAAATTATTCCACCAACTAAGTTAAACTGATGCTCAGTATTAGCATTTTTAAAGATTTTCAAACTCCAAATTATCTGAGGTTATTTTTATTCCGTTTCCTAATAAAAGTATAAAATATAGCTTTAAAAACAGTACCGAAATTCCTTCCTTAAGTAAATACCGAAATTCCTTCCTTCCTTTTAAAAGTAACGGTTCGGACAATCATAATAAAATAGTCTCAGAACAATTTTAATTAGAAATAAGTAGAGTCGTTTCATATTACGTTTCCATAAATGTTTTACGTTTCAAATTGTTACGCCGCGGTTACGATGTGACCAATCAACTGAACAATTCGGCTGAAACATTCATTACCTTATCCCCTTATACTCGTATTCCAGAACGGTTCTGTAGCGTTACGTCACATCTTTATGTTCGAATAAAGTAAAGAGATAATACTAACTGCTTCCAAAAGTCCAAATATAACTGGGGAGGAGGAGGACATCAGATTCGGGCAAAGTTCGTTAACCCAAGAATATGCGTTTATCTTTATGACATCAGAACGGGATAGGCATCCGGCTCACTATGGGTTTGTTGACGTCACGATTAGAAAAAAATATGACGGTTGTAATAATAACAGAAAGCACGAAATGGTACAGCCAAAAGATAAGCCTTTGTAAAAAAGTCACATCTTGTACCTAATGGCGGTTAATCCGGTTAGTAATAGAGTTTCATGATGGTCAAACAAAAATAAATAAGGTACACAGTGCTACGATTTGTAGCGGTAATTTTACGATTACAAACGCGGTTTATAAAAAAATAACACAAAACCACACTTAGGTTTAGGTGGTACACTTTAACTGACTTTAATCAACTTATTTAAAGTTTGTTAGGCGACTATTATAGAGAAATCATAAAAAAATATTTAAGCTAATAATAATTTTTAAGAATCTGCAACTTTCTAAAACTTGCTGGAAAAACAATTACTACATTAGCATTCAAATTAACCACAGGGGTTAAAGTAATATAAACTAAAAGAATCGAGGAGAATTACTCCTTGAATAAGTTTGCAACTCGTCCATAAAAGTGGTAAAAGAGTATTTCATACACTCGACAGGCGACCGTCTGCCGCAGATATTTTTTTGAAACTGTTTGTACGAAAGTTTGAAGTTTATGCAAACACCAAATGGCGCTTCTCTCGTTGTAGAGTTAGACTTGTGGGTGAGACGGTTTGAAATGTACTAAGTATTGTATTAAACTATCTCGAAAGTTTGCCAGTCTAGTTAATGCAGTGTTTATATGCAAACAATATTTTTCTTGAACGAATGCGAGAAAGGGTTAACTCTTTTATTTGTAAGTGGCAGAGTTAACTATGAAAAAAATATTTTAGTTTTTTAAGACTTGGAGAACCATAAAAATCCGTAGCAATTTGTTTTAATTGAAACGTCTGTTTGTTAAAAAAATAATGTTTGTAGGTATTTCTGAGAAAATTAAACGTTTCGTAACCTACGAGACGAGACTTACATTGCCATATAAAATTAGTACATAATCATAGCAATATGTAATGATAATAGTCATAACGCAAAAGAGCTAAACGGTCATAATTACCCTTTCAAACGTTCCTATGCAAGCTATTATATGAATTAGCGAGTTCGTTGTTGCAAATGTGTTCCATTAATGCCCGTGCCGCACTCCCTCTCGGCTTTTACAAACAACTTAGTATAATTAAAATACCATTAATCACAATGGAGGCAATTTACTTAAATATTCCGCCACTCTATGTTTTTTTTGTGACGGTTTTATCCATTTTCCAATAATAGTTAACGACACATTCGAGCTTCACACGTCACAATTATTTTAGTGGTAGCATTTATAATTTTATTTTATCAAACAATACTTATTGGTAAAGTTATGAAATAAATGTAAAAAAAAGTGCGAATAAAAATAGCAAAAACGAATTGTTAAAAACATTAGCTTCAACTTAGGGCTCGTCCGGGATTTGAACCCGGGACCTCTCGCACCCGAAGCGAGAATCATACCCCTAGACCAACGAGCCGTTATCAAGCGTCGCCAAAATAACGACCTATTCCCTATTCGTACTCGCTGTCGATGACGTCATAAATTTGATGTAAACTATTTTGCTAACAATGTCCCTATGGTAACTATAATTCAGGGTTCCGTAATATAAGTAATGTAATAAAATGTTTGTTACAAAGTATGAGTAATGGATTTCAAGATAAATATTTAAGTTTTAGTAAATCATAAGTTTTCAAGCAAAGTAAGTTCAGTTTTAAGTACTTACAAAAATAAAAGAAGTGTTGGAAAGTAAGAGCTTACTATGTTAATCTATTCTAATCTAAGAAACAGAAGAGAACACTTCTGCTGGCCGCTATTACCGATGTATTACATGAATTACAGCTAAAATGCCAATATTCCCCGCAGACCACTTTGCGAGATTATAACGGAACGTTGAATTTTGCCAGATTTACCCCACGAGAACTATTTACAGGAAATAACGGCCAAAGTCGTAAGTGGTGTGAGATCTACTCGCTAGCCGTTATCGACACATGCAACAAAGTGAGATACATACTCTGTGGTAGTGCCGAGGTGCCACTCCAACTAAAAGCTAAACTCACAGCTCCCACAAAAGTTACCACTGTGACCGTAGTGGCACATACAGCGACCATCATCGCGTGCTTTAGATCAGCTAATCAACTACAGGTGAATTATAGAGCTTTGGTAAATCTACAGCTATTGCAGATTAGACTGAAAGGAAGTGAATGATTGCTGATGGTTCGCGAGTGACACCCAGGACACCGCTATAGACAAGGCGTAGAGAAGTGAATGTGGTCGATAGAGTTGGTAAGTGTAGAAGGTAACTCTGGCAAAATCACCTCGTGTGGGGGATCCAGGTCCTCATCGGTCGGCGGCGCGTCGGGGCCCCGCCACGCGCGCCCGCTCCTGCCCACAACACCTCCGTCACTATCAACAATCGCCACTTCAACTACTACACTCACAAAACACATTATAGTTCACGACAGACACATCAAAATGCGACAATACTGTATGTACTGAACAGTTTACAAGTTACACTTCACATACTCTGCATGTGCATGCGTAATGCGTATCAGATATGCATTCGATACATTTTACAATTCATTTCAGAGGATATAAACAAAGCGAGCTGTTCACGGTTATTTAATGTTTGGATTTGCATTTTAGCGCGCCAGATATACACTTTAATCATACTAGTCTGCAAGTTATAGCGTCATATCATTGATTTTTGCATTTAATGGTTTGACTGGAAGAATTTGAGCGTCGAATGTGAAAAGACTTTATGGGCAATAAATTTAAAGCTACCCTTTTGAATGCTAGACAATGGCTTTAGATCGGCGGCGACAGTTAATACGATCGTTTATGCCGCCGTAAAGCAATTGATTTCGATATCGAATAAAAAGTGGAAGTGTTGGCCGACGGCCAATGAGATGCCCGGCTTGCGAGCGAGTGCTGAGACAAGGGGCTTGAAGAAAACGGTGGGTTATTTTCGCTGTGAGATGTAAAAGAGCGGACGAAAGCGAACGCTCGACGAGGACTCAGCCTTTGCTTTCGTATTTTAAGGGTGCTTTAGCGTTTAAGCGCCTTTATGAGAGGCACCGCGGCGTCGAGGGATTTACGCCTCGCTCATTAGAGTGGGTGCGGGCTTTAAACTGTGCCCTGATGACGCGGAATTTACTTCGGATCGCTTTTATCTGGCGATTTGTGAGAATCTCGTTAAGGTGGCTGTGATTGCTTTGTAGAGCGTGTGGTTATTGGTGATGGTCACCTGTAGGCGTGCTCGTGCGCCGGCAGGCCCAGGCCGGAGTCCTCGGAGGGCGAGCGGTGGTCGGCCACGAGGGGAGCCTCCGCCGGCCCCTCCTACAACAATAACCCTCGACACCTCACCCAAACTCCTATTTCACTTATTCGTATTTATCAGAACTAGTTACTATAAAATTACTACCAATTAAGTTAGCTTTTTGTTGCAAGATAAGTACTTGAAATTCGCAACGCTTTTTTGCTGTCCAAATTCCTAGCCAACGACAGACTAACACTTTGAATAATTTATGCGAGTGCAAATCAAGCGAGGGAGATATAATCCGGGGTTCTGCCGAGTCCTTTGTTAGGATCACATTGAGATAAGTTCTGCGGACAATCTACTTGTAATAAGGCGTACATTTATTGCGGCCGTACGTCAGATAAGAGGAGATGCTTTACCTAGTTTATAGGTAGGTACAGGTATACACAGATATTTCATGTCAAATTAGAGAAGCTACTACCACTGAAAGCGAAAAAATGAAGTGTTGGTCTAACGTCGAGACATGCGGGGTAGAAAGGGGTGATAATGCTACTTACCGGGTCGTGCAACTCATGCATGGTGGAGGAAGGTAACATGTGCCGCTCTCCCCCGCGCTACGGACAAATTACGAGCTACAGCCTTTTGCACATTATACACTGTCAGCTATCCATTAATAATAAATGTACATTTACCTGCTCTTAAACACGAGATAATATGTATATTATAACATCAATTTCATCTATTCCATGTATGTGTTAATGTAAATATTAACTGTATAGGTTGATACAAGTAGCGAAACAATGGCTTCTCTTCATATTAGTTCAACAATCTGGCCAACGACATAATAATATACCTACTCATTCAAGCTTTGATAGGTTTTGCTATTCTGCTGAGAAAGTCTAGTCAAGTCCCAAAAAAGTGCAAAGCCTGGAGTCGTGCCAAATGACGTGCAGCCTGAATAGATACGAGGATCTAACGTGGCCTCCATTTCTTGCTTCGAGACTATTCAATTTTGGATACTGACGAAAAAATTATACTTTTGCAAAAGTAATTCCGAATTAAGCCTTTATCTCGAGTAAAAAAGAGAGCAAATTGTAATTAGTAGCTCCAGGTGCTGCACAGATAATGAGATTAATATTGAGCCGCCTTAATGAACTCGCTGAAACACGGCCTGTATCCTCTTTTTGCTAAGTCGGCTACAATGGCACTGCGGGAAAATTGCTGACCTCCTACATTGAAAAGGGTATCTAAAATGTGCCTTGTTTATTTATGTACCTCATGTAAGACTCTACTGTTAAAGTAAATGATCACTGTATTAGGTAGTGGATTATCTAATAAATAATAAATACCTTTATATGATGATCACCAGCCTCTTCCCCTCTCCTATAGACAAGCTCGTCGAACCTCGGCCTATCTTCAGGAAGCATAAATTCCCGAATTTCCGTCAGAAGTGTATACTATAACAAAACAACATTATTTTATTAACCGTTCCAAAATTATGCATTATATAAAACTAATGGAACAGTCACATGATTCGCTGAAAATATAAAAACACTATAAAAGCTCATACCTACACTCGCGGAATGTGAAAAAGAGTGAACATTTTTAAATACATCCCGCTGTTTATTTGGTTGAAAATGTTGAAATAACAGTTTTAAATGTCAGATAAATAACTCTCCTGCAATTAAGTTTGTTACGGTTTAAAAATAAAAGCTATTGCATTAACTTAATTTTATTTAAGGATCGATTCCATTCAGCCATTTTTGATTAGACGTGATTACGTATTCTATCTAAAAGCTAGTAGAGATTACATTGTTTGTTACGACAAACAATCTCATTGGCATTCACTTGATATTCTGTACATGATATTATCATCCATTCTTCTGAGATATTTATCATAATATTCCAAAAGCACCACATTTATCGTACGTAAATTAATGGAACCAAATACATCTTCGCTAAACCTAATTCTGTCATAGTGCCAAGTGACGTTGTTCGCGCGAATCTAATCGCGCCATATCGGGGCACTATCCAAAATTGCTTTCAGAATTTTCGTATTATCGACTCCCGATGATGTTATCAGGAATGTACGAAATACGAATTGACTCTGGTACAAAAGCCTACGACAAATTAGGAGGTCATTAACTTAATGTACGCTTTCTTGTGGCGTTTAATAAAATTCGTGCCACTGCGTAACGTGCGCGGGATTTGCGACATTTGTATCTACATAATAAATAAGAGCGCTGTTTTTTTTTGTAAAAAGGCTAAGGTTCTTATTGTGATTGATTTGAAGATAATGTATTTTATAGTAGCGCCTGATAGCACTAACTAATACACAATACCCGATGCTATTCGATCGCATCAAATGGATAGCTATAAATCAAATTAACACGTCCCATTAATTAGCCTGTTCCGTATTAGGCTAAGGCCAATAGAAGCTGTGATTCATGCGTAGCATGGTGATTTATTTTAAATGAGATAACTAAGACAATCACAGAATTAAGTTTTATACTATATGCATTGCGGACTATATAGGATTCTCCAAAGTTCTTTCGATTTATTTGTTTATTGTATAGAAACAACAGTACAAAAGGCAAACTTAATGCTCTTACTAAGTTTGACTTTACAAGTTAACGAAACTACTGTAATTTGCTCAAGGAAGCCCTTTCTAAGCTTGTGATTTCTCAACTTGGCAATAAAATTTAACTGCAGCGAAAGAGGATTCTCAGTACTGTGGTTGGTAAATACGAGTTTTATAAAATACACAGCTGTTTAAAGAGTACTAAAACAACAGTTAAAATAATAAGACCAGACGCATTTTTTTCACAGAAACGACACAGATTCCACTTAATTTCAAAGCTGCTGGCTATATAAGAGCACTACTGAGTTCTCGCTCTTACTCGTATATAGCATCAATAAACTGTTATTGTCCGTAAAATTTTTACTGTATATTAAAGAGTCTTAGTTCTAAGCTTATAAAAAAGCTTTATGCTTAAACACGATGCACTTTTTCTTTTAATTCAATGGTAGTCTCTTATTATCCAATTCATTATAGCCATACTCTGCCATGTTTATGATAAGTGCCTCTTCTTTTCTTCGCGAGGAACGTATAGAAATTATCCTTACGTGAATAGAGTGACATAGAGTGGTCTTAGCACTCTGAGCATCTGCACTGCGTATTCATCAATGCAGTAGACACAGACACAACAGTAACTATGAGATAACAACGTATGCTAGTTTCATAAGCAATATTGCCTTATGGTGTGTATTTAGGGGTCAGCTAGTTAGAGCTAAAAGACTTTTGGCTACCATAACTATAGAGCTTTTTGCTTGGCTTTGTTTTATTCATAAAGCAATTGTACTTTATGCTACTGCTATAGGCAAGTTATTTGCTGTCTACGATAACGTACAAAGACTTGGCTGTATCCAATATCATAATAATTATTGAAAACATTGAATTTAATTAATTTTTAGTCTGAATTCTGTACTCTGTCCTATTTTTTGTACGAATATTTATCTGTTTATGAAAAGTGTTTGTTTCTCAAATATTGATAAATAAATAAATAAATCATTGATTTTGTCATCTTAAGAGCCCTTTACTCTCAATATTCGAGACACAATTTATTTATTTATTTACTAGCTTTTCGCCCGCGGCTTCGCCCGCGTGTAATTTTGTCTGTCACAGAAAAACAATATCGCGCGCGTATTTGCTCACCGTTTAGACCTACCCTGGACTACGACAAACATTTTTAAACCAAAATCAGCCCAGCCGTTCTAGAGTTTTAATCAGACTTACGAACATCAATTCATTTTAATTTATATAGATAGAAGATAGAAGATTAATGCAAAACACTTGTAAGCTTACAGAGCAGGTCCAAATCCACAAAGTTGTACCCACAGGTCACACACACGCGTTCGGGTCGAATGTAAGTCAGTCCTCCCATGTAGGTACGGCTTGATGCGCAAACCTTGCCATTCGTGACGTAAAAGGTCCCTCAGGGATCGTGTAAAAGGCGGGAGATGTAAGTCTACATGTCGTTTACCCTTACGTGTACGCTGCTAGTGCGTTGCTCTTAGATATGAATACGAGTATAATAAAGTTTCTGACAGTGATTGAAACACACTCTTTACTTTTTACCTACATATTGCGATGTGATCCTTCATTTAAAGACGCGTAATTTTTGAGGCCCAAAACTTTCAGTTCTTTTTAAACAATTTTTAAATGCTACTGTTAGGGGGGAGTGGGATCATCTCAATATCAAGTACCAAGTCATCCCAAATCTAGCAAGTCGTCCCATCCCAAAGCAGTCGACGGGGTCGGGCTAGCGTTTTTCGAATCTCGTACAATCGAACAAAGTGTTAAAGTAGTTAGCTGAAGAGATTCAATTCAATGCGTTTTCTGTAGCTGTGCCTTTAATAATATAAGTAAAATATGTAAATAGAACGGTAAAATAGGACCACCTCACGTTCTTCCCGAGGATGTCGTAAAAGGTGACTTTTTCACGTTATTTTTCAGCGTGGGAAGTGTAGGTAAATTGTCTTTCCATTTTTGAGAGTATACCTATTCTTGTTGTGGATACTAAGCGACTTGATGATGATGATGATGTTGATGATGACTGTAGTTATGACCTCTTCTACTGACAATCTTACCTTCTGCGGCGTATCTAGCAGGTCCCTTAGCACAGTGAGGAACGCGTCGGGCGTGAGCCGGCGGGCCGCGTACTCCTCCATGTAATAAGCGAGCGCGGGCAGGTCACTCTGAGGGAGGAGTGACCGCGCTTTCTGCTCTACAGCCACCGCTGCAGCGCCTCTTCTTCTTCCCCAGCCGCTTATTCTACACGGATATTGAAAATTATGGCTAAGTTTATGCACAATAGAAAATGTTTGCTACGACGAGACCTATTCATGTCTGCAGAATGACGCCAAAACTACTTTTACAGGGATGAATATGCGTCTTGAACTGACTAAAAAAATACATATTTATCTGGCACTTGGTCTTTGTTAATGAGTCAACTTTATTTAGATCATCAGTAAGGTTATGTCATCAACAATAACTGCCTAAAAACATACGAGTATTTATCTACATTTTGACTAGGTACATTCATGCTACTTGCAAACTAAAGTGTCTAAAGTAAATAGGTAGCTCACTCTGCATAATTATGTTAACTGCATTTAGGATGTAGGTAACATAGGAACCTATCATAATTCGAAAATTTTATAAATGTTAACGTCATTAATTTGTTATCCTGCAGTAGGTATATTCTGATTGACCTAATGACAATGATTGTAGTAAAGACTAAATTACCTGATGGTGATGAGAATACTAACCTTGGTGCAGCATCTCGTTCCCCATACGCCGTGCAGGCGTGCGGAACTTTCCCTACATCCCTGACCAGCAGGGACATCCTTTTGTGATACTTGAGCTGTGCGACCGCCTCGTCGTGCGTCACGTCCACGAACGACTGTCCGTTCACCTCCAGGATCTGGTCTCCTACCTGGCAAGCAATGTATACCTAATGAATCAATTGCTCCCAATTTTTTAGTCCATATAAAAATATTTTTCTATTTCTGTGATTTTATTTTAAGCTAAAAGAAGTAAATTGTTTCCTAAATGAATATAAAATGAATGAAAGACGGTCTTTATAAAAAAACAAGGGAAACTTTATAAACTTCAAATTACTTTTCTCTAGAAATTATTATTTTAGGGCAAAACTTTGTCTTTCTTTTGATTATTAGAAACCAACGAGTTAACAAAGGTAGAGCTGTTAAAAATCAGTGAGGCAAATATGATCTAAAAGTTTTATTATTTTCTCTTTCTAACGTCATTCAGAATAACCCGATAAATAAGTGCTTGGTATTCAAAAAGATTCAGATAATATTAACTTCATAACCCTTTCATGAAATCATAAAAATCTTAAGATCCTCTTTTCATAAAATACTTTAGTAGGAAAGGGTTGGTATGATTTGAAATTCAAAGATAAACTTCTACTATTCTGAATTGAAATTAGAATCTTTTATCTTCTAGAGATTACAATTAGGAGGGTTACAAGATAAGAATAGGATTATAAAGGCCATTATTCTAAAAGTAGATACGTGACAGTAATTTGATTTCACAGTTGAAATATTTGTCCATCTGTCCCTTACGGATAAGGAAATCTGACGTGAAACCTACCGATACTGAAACACACTGAAATTCAACGATAACTTATCGCAGAAAGTAACAAAAGCTATGCCCACGAAGTGGCATTTGCATTGTTACGGTCGAAATTGCCCTCTTAATTCTTGGCTTTGTTGCTTAATGAAAATTCTTGAGGTATTGTTTGGTGGTGAAAGTTTTTAAACGTAAGTTATGAGTTTCGGATGTGGCGTGCGGGGGGCGGTGTGGGCTCGAACTCAAACACTATAAATTTCCCGCCACACCTCGCCGCGGGCACCATTCGCCATGAAATACGATTTCGCGTACTTCCTTAAATTAGAGAGGTAGACACTAACGCCCAACACTAACATTTGCGTCTAGGATTTAATAAAATTATTAACTAAAGTTTTGGCTAATCTATGTTTACGAAGTAGTAAGAATACCCGTTTGTGAGCATAAAGAACTATTTGAGATATTTATATTCTCCTCAAGTGATCTTATTTGAAATCATAACAAGTGCAAGGACATACAACTTTACTGAAGCTTATAAACTTGACATTCACAGTAATATATTTAAAATACCACGACTATTTTACTGTCAAGACAAAACAAACAAAAAGACAGCACTTTTCCCCTTTGAATGTCACGTGAATCAACCTCTATTTAAAATGATTCAAAGTTTTCATTGCGGCAAGACATAATAATAGTGAGCAAGCAATTTACGGTATTATAGACGTGCGACCGCCGAGACTTGGTCTAGCACCGGTTTATTGCAACCATTGTAAGTTTCTTTAACTGCACTCCGAGGTAATTTGCAAGCAATTGCACTTCAGGATTTATTAATATTACATTTCAGTTTGTTCAGGTGCTTCACTTTATATTACGTGCTAGTGAAATGAAATGACTCACTGAGGTTTTTTCTAGATAACAAAAGAACAAATTTACATAGAAACTTAGAACATGAGTTGATAACTATATTCTTACGTATTTTGAAAGTTCTCGTCCTGGGTAAAAAGATTCATACAATATAGTGATCCAATACTCAATTAACACCTAACACTTCGTAAGTTTCAAAATATAAGGTTCTAACTAATGCAGTCTTTAAACAAGTTTGGCGCAAATCCAAACCCATTAATAACTAAAACCATTAGATTCTGTACTTAGTACCTACCTTTGCTGTTGGGAATAAGATAACATACAGAAGATTAGTTAAATTATTTTGTTTTTAAACGATATTCATTTCAAGGAATCTTAATAATTCGTAGTACGAATGTACTACGATACATATTCCTTATTATAATAGTCTTGTTATATTCCATTTGTTTGTAGGTATCAGCGACTGTTGACTAATAAGATAATTTGGGCAGTGACTCTACCAAATGATTCATAGTTATCTCAATTTTGTTACCTATGTAGTTACATTATAGCTGCCTTTTTATTAGAAAATGTTTATAAATAGCACCTAAGCCCTCTTAGTCTAAGCCCAATTCGGATAATCCGATTACTGAAATTACTTTATTAAACACGTTTCGTGCATATTCATTTTTAGATTCAATATCAAGTTTTAGGTAATATTCTAATTACAAAAATGTTCCTTCGAAAAATTCTATAAATATTTGTGAAAGCCCAGGACAGGTCGCGCAGTACATAATGAAGTAAATAGAAGAAAACACCAGAGACGTGATTTCAATTCAACCTTCCCGAGAATGTGTCCGTGGTACGTGTTGGACGTTGGCATTACATTGGCGTGCCTCCACTTCCTACATACTAGTACGAGTATATACCCTGTGCCCTTATTGCTATTCCGCACACGAGAGGTCCGTACCCATTAGTTATATTTTTTGAAATCGTTTAAACCCATAACGATAAATTTAGGTTATTAAAGAACGATTTTACTGGTAGATAATGGTATCTGGGTGTAGATCTAAATTACATTACAAGTACCTACCTATATTTTAATTAATGATAGTGCTTTGTTTGTAGAACTCTTCGGAGGAACCTTACGTCCAATAGTAGGTAAAAGTATTGGCATATTCTGAAATAATGACCTACCTCTACCTACATATCAATTTGGAGCACAGAGTGCCCCTTTATACAAATTAGTCCATGTACAAATTGGTCAGAAATAAAATATTGTCTGAAATTTTCAGCGCATTCAGCTCTAACTGCATCCTAAAGTTATGTCCNCAATTTGTAAGATATACCTGAAAACCCCGATAAAGCAGCTATTAAGAATAATATAAAAAAACATAACCCTCCTTGTGACGTAATTGGGTAATAAAATGTACCAAAATATTTCAGTCCAACTTACTGTCAACTCGACGACGCGCTTTAGAATCAAAGATTGAATTTGAATTATGCCTTATTTTACAATTCACATTGAAAACAATATGACTTGCTTGAGCTTTTTCGATTTTTTCACAAAAATAACAAATAGTCAAGAAGAGATTACAAAATTTTTGCAGCGGCTGACAGATTTCATAATCTTCTTTGACAGGTGACAATTAAACCATAGACAATTGCCATATGAAAAACACACTTTTCCAATATTTTTGTTTGCCATGAGATTCTGGTACACCATAAAAGTATTGGCATATTCTGAAATAATGACCTACCTCTACCTACATATCAATTTGGAGCACAGAATACCTAATAAAAAAAACCGGGAGTAACAAATGGTGCCCCTTTATACAAATTAGTCCATGTACAAATTGGTCAGAAATAAAATATTGTCTGAAATGTTCAGCGCATTCAGCTCTAACTGCATCCTAAAGTTATGCCCGACGAGAAATATTTAAGACAAATGCTGCTCTAAAGCCCGCTATTTTTCAAGTGTTTCAACGAGCGCAATAATTTTCGCCTGCGAAACGTATCGCGACTCAAATGAGCCACGATGCTACGTAACGGCCCGCTAAGGCATTGGATACCTCGCTGTATTTCAGACGCCGTCTCACAATACGTATTTCATGATTTACTGTAATGATTTTGCTCCTGCGGGAAAAGACTCAAGGTCCAAAATTACATCTGTGAAAGTGCCTGAAACACAACAGCTAGCTTCCTGGAACCTCTCCTCCTCAATTCCCGGTAAGTCCGTCGCTTTACCAAACAGATTTGTAAAGCATGTTTTTACAGATGTATTTTTTAACTACCTCAATTTTATTTTCAATCTTTAGTTATGTTAGAATGCCTGAACGTTGCTACTAGAACTATATTTTAGTCATAGTTTGTTTTCTTTAGTATTATTTGTTCACATAAATGACATTATACGAGTCTATGGGGCACCTAATACAAGTACAATAGGAGTATTTTTACATCTCTTGTCTACTAATTAGTGCGGTTTTTTTACAAAAAATAATAGTGAAGTTATGTATTGCAATCACTTGACAAAGATCGCTCTAACATTATCTACGTCGACAATAGCCCAACTGAAGCACCCTTTTTCACGTTGACCCCTTATCGGCAGATGCCTAACAGCAGTCAAAAATATAACAAAAGTCAAACGGCGCCGTACAAAGAGCCGCAGACAACGGCTCCGAAGACAAAGCCACCTCCGCCACCCCACAATTGCTCACAGACACAAAGCGCGAATGATTAATATGTCGTTTAATTAATTGACGCTTTTGGAACAAAAGTATATGGTTTACTTGACAACCATTGGCTTACCGACTTTTTGAAACGTGGTTTATTTTGATAAATTGTTTTTGCGAAAGTAGGTAGGTACTAAGTAAAACGTTTTCTTTACATCATTTCTTACTCGTTTTGTCTGAGTTCCGGAAGTAGACATGTGAATTCTGGTTTAGAGACAAATAAAAATGTAGAGAGAACTTCAAAATAACTTATCCTGGAGAAAGTTTCCAAAATCCTAACCCAATAATGCGAATCAATTTCTCTTTTACGACCCTACATAAAATAACTCTAAAAAAAAATTCTCACCATGAGGCCAGCTCTGTCAGCAACGGAGTCCTTGTCGACGCCCGTGATGTAGATGCCGAGGTTGTACTCCAGGCCCCCTCTGATCATCAGGCCTAGCGACTGCCCCGGCTCTATGCACAGGTCCACCTGAGAACAAGAGCTCTTTTGATACAAAAAGCCAGGCGATAGTCATTTGTTTAAATAGTAATAATATGAATCTTTCAAAAATATCATACCTACCTACAGTTATTAAGTTTTTATAGCTTGTTTGTTCGTTGTTTGAGTACTTTTTCTTGAGTTTTATACGAGTAATAGCGTAGCATGCAAGAGATAATGAGACAACAACGCTGCAAAGACGAGATAAAACTTAATACTCGTTTAAAAACCGTGTAAAATTATTTCACAATTTCATTTTAGCCTTTGCTTCAAAACCAGCGTAGCTTTTATCTAAAATTAAATAGGTAGGTATGACGACGACACTAACAGCTAGTTTATTCATTCAGATGATGTTTATTGCGTGGGCGAGTGACGTCAGAAACGATGCGGGCTGACGACTCGCCCGCACCGGGCTCATTACGACCACTAACGGTGGTTTAGTGGCCAGTGGACACCGATTAGCATACCAGCTGGCCCTCACTCGCCATCCCCCTCCCACAACCCACCCCACGTATGTGCATTCGCATATTTACGGCCGGGAAATTGGAGCATAAAATTTTATGATGACGTAAAATCATTAGAAACAGCGTCAAAGCAATAAATGTGGACGGGAAATGTTTTCCGTATATATCGCGTCTAACGTGCATATACCTACCTTAGAATAAAGTAGTTGAGCAAACACCTTATTCAGGTTCACTTTTCACGTCGCTGCATCGTATTTTAACAGCCTGCAGGAATTTACCAAAACGATTTGTGTCTACCTGATTGAGGCAGGTGCAAATGACTTTAACGAGTCCATTTAAAAGGAAAAACTAGCTCGTCTAAACACACGAAGGAAATAAAACTTCTGTGCTTACACACAAAAGATTCACAAAAGTTACTTTTAATATGGAAAACGACTTAAATATGCTGTGAAAATCATAAATTGATAGTGGGCTGAAGTTCTAGATAGCAGTAATGTTAGTAGGTACATCAAACTGTTTTCCTAGTCGCTTTTTCTCCCGAATATTCTGGACTATCATAATATCTTTTTTTGTTTATCGATAGTAAATCATAAGAATTGTAATTAAGTAAGCGATATGTTCGCTCAGTAAAACTGTTTTTTTTTAAATACCGAGTGTTTAGCCAATCAAGTTCATGTGACTTACCCTTCGCACTGATCTATCTTTACTAGCAGAACGTGGAGGCCTCATCGGCGGCGGCGACGCGGGCCTCCCGTACCGGTCCATCCACGAGCACGAAGCTCGGCCCACCAGAGCGCCAGCTGTCCGCACCGTCATCGTCAGCTGGCGGCAGGACTTCAGCATCTGTTGGAGACGATGGAGATTAAAGAAGTCCTTACATAATAGAGCCCTGCTTATTTTTAAACCACTTCTCTGATAAGAAGAGTGAGAGATAGTCACAACAGCATTCTAAAAACAGTGGCGGAGAACTACAACTCTCCGATTGTTATGAAATTTCTCTAAACCTTAATGTTTACTAACCCTAGTTTACAAGTATATTCCGCGTGATCAAAGGGTGATGAAATATACGTCCTACCTAAGGTAGGTAAAGAAATTATGTAGAGTTAATTTAATTATTCAGAATTTCCGCTTGGGGTAGCTTTGGAGCTTATATTAGCGTTCTTAAACGTACCTACATTCAATACTACATAGTAAACTACTATTTTTGGTGCAAAAACATTCTGGTGTAAAGCTAGATGAGCTGTAGTCCGTAAGTAAGGTAATTTAATGTTTTAAAATATTTTGAGAAACCAACTAAAGTTGAAATATGTACAGGTGAAGTTATTGCAGAAAAGTGCACGGTTATTAAATTACCGATTTAGTTAGAGCGTACCAAATTGAAAGTTTTATGCTCGGCTTACTGACTTAGTACGCGGAGGACACCTTCGTAAATAAATAAAGATCTCTCCCATTGGGATATTCCCTCGATACATCGAAAGAAGAAAACTTTCAGCTTGTGCAGGTAAGTAAAGGCTTGAAAAATATCGTATAGGCTTAAACCATATCCTTTATTACATATTAGAAGCATGAAAAACCCCTAAAAAAGTTAGTTCGAAATATATTTTCGTGTACGACTTGTTTTGTACTAAAATGTTACACTGAACACTTTATGGTTCTTCTCGATGGCCCATAGCGAAAATAATAAGAGTTTCAAACCGTAATATACTTTCATACCGCAATAAAAAGAAATGAAATGAATTGGAATGTCTCTGCACATTCACGTGCAAAATAACCCTATTAACATACTCGTACATGCTTACGTGTTTCCGAGCTCTTTTTGAATGCGAATTTTTTACTGTGTCTTATACAATTAAAATCCAAGTTTAGTGAATTTCACATTGTTTCACACTTATTACGAGTAATCATTGAATTCAATCCTTTGTAGGCAAACAATTGAAGTGTAGGTACATTCGTTATATTTTTAAATTAGATAATGTTTTAAGCCTTGGTTAAAACGTAGTGTCGCGTAACTTTGAGCGGTAGATGCTAACTATTGCAAATGTGATTTTAATGAAAAGCTACACTAACAAACATCTATCCAAACCCACAAACATCTATATTTATTTATATTACTTAGGTAAAACAATGAGTATACTTAAATCGTTATCACAAGAAATAACAGTCCTTTTTATGTTGCTTTATACGTTTAAAAACGTATCCGTACTACGAAATCCCCGTAGCACGTAGGCATCGTAGCATGCGAGGTTACTCGTAATAATGCATGCTACACACTTTTCCACGCGTGATATAATGACGCTATAAATTGATTTTGCCTAAAAGAGACGCCTCTAAAAACATCTTTAGAGCCCACCACATAAGATTTGTAGCGATAATTTCTTATTGTGATACCATAACGATAAGTGTAATGTGTAACGGGCGCGTGAACTTCTCGTGCTTAGGTATTACGCAACCACGCACAACCTCTGAACTGAATGTGGCACAAAGACAGCCTTTATACGTTTACCTAGAACTTTGAGGCTTCTTTTATTCCAAGAAAACTCATGTATGTGTACGAGTACATAATGATATCATCGTGAATAAATAAACAAACACGATACGAGTGAATTAGCAAAGAATCAAAAGTATGTAACTACATAAATATAGTACTTAGTGGATGTTGTTGTATTTATCGGCTCAAAAGTGTTAATCACGGTCGTTTCATAATTCTCTCACAAAATACTAGTAGAAAGTACAGTTATTACGAACAGCTACTATGTCTTTATGTGGTGAAATAAAGATCCTGTTCAAAATCCTAATATTGTAACGGAGTAGAACTAATTTATTTCAATAAGCTAGTTAATTGTTTGAGTTAGCAATAGGTAGTCAATGAATGGGCTGTGAATTAGGAAGGTGAAGCAACTTGGCTTGGCCCAAAAGTGTTTGCTTTGTAATTAAATAATTTATAGCGTCGAGCCAGCTGGGTCGGAAGGCATGGCCTGCCAGGAGTTTTGGCCCCAGGCGATCGCTTTTAGAACTAACACCCTTAGAAGTGACACGACATTACTGTTTTGCAGTAAACAGTCATAGTTATTATGTAAATGTCTTGACGGTATAGGTAATTAGACGTTATTAAAATAAACAATAAAGTACTCGCAACGGTGATAAAAAGTGACTACGTTTTTTATGTCGGCTTCAACGATAATTTTTGAGGGCCGGAATTCACCTTTAATTCAATCAAAAGCATAATTAAACCTAAAAAAAACCTTTTAAAAGCTAGACTCGACTTCAAAGAAATCACAATGATATTCTGAAAGCTTTTTCCCAATACTAAGTGGCCCCAATTTTCGGGAAAGTTACATAATAAGATTTTACGACTCAGCACCACATTTACTTTATGAAGGTAAGAACGACCGGTCTACGACGACGTCCGCAAAAAGTTTCGTTAAATGTCACAGTGCTAGCGTAAATCAACCGGTATCGCGCGCGGAAGGAAGCGCCGGACGGCCCCTGGCGAAAATAGTGCCCGTGCAGATCTGAATGGCGTATTTATTTTACTCAGATTGTACTTATTCCGGATGTAATAAACCGAAGAAAAGATGGATGGCTGAAAAAGGATAATGACGCAACGACCAGTAACCGGATTTCGAGGAAACGTACCGATATTTGTATTTAAAGGGTAAATTATTAAAAGTATGTGAACGACTTTACTGTGCTATACGGTACCTTACGGTACAATAAAGTCAGTTGCGGTTATGGGTTTACCTAAATCCCGCGTGAGACTTTATTAACGAAGTGAATACGATCATTTATGATCAGAGGCATGGGTTTGTAGGTAGTCTCTTTATGGATAATTGGATAGGTATATTTTAGTATGTTTATCCCATAAATAATCGCCAGCTCACCATTTAGAGCTACTTTACGAAATACAAGAAGTTATCTCCTAAACTTTAGAAACACAAAATTCAACAAAATTGCTTACTTTTATTTTGTCAGAAACAATAAGTCATTCATAATTAAAGGATTATTTATGAAGGATAATAATAGAGTCATAAAAGTCAGAGTAATACATAATTTACTGCTTACTAAAGAGTTCCAGGTGGAATAACAAAGTTGGGTAATATCAAGTTTTTTGTTCGTTCGTTCCCGAGGGAAATAATAGACACGGGAAAGTTTGCCATGCCGTGAGGCGCATCTTAAATACCCCCACAAATTAGTAGCAGCAGTCCGAAAGGTATAACTCTGATAATCATATTAATACTCGGACCGGGTTAGGAATAATAATCAAGTGACCAAATAAAAACCGAAAGTTTTAATCGAAAATAGATAGGTTTTTTTGGAAACCTTGGACCATTAAGCGTCGGTAAGTTTAAATTTATACGGGTACCTGTCGCGGATTTAAATTTTTTTGCTGTCGTTTCATCGTACCAAAAAATTAAAGTTACCAACTACGACTATAATCCCCCACTTTGAGTCAAGATTATAGAAATAAAAGAATAAGAATAATAATAATAAATACACTTTATTGCACACCAAACAAATAACAATAAAAATAACAATAAAATTNAGAAATAAAAGAAGTTTGTAGTCACAGATTTATAGCACTTCATTGCTTAATCTAATAATCAATCAAGAGTTAACCTTACATTATGCTTTACGTTAACGTAATCAGACTTGTTAGCTTAATATCTGACTGACTAAAATAGGATTATCGTTCAAAATATTTTATGAGGATTAAGATTATTACAAACCACACTAAAAACTGATACTGCTGTGGTGTATTGTGTTGTACAGAACCAAAACAACAAAAATGTCTGAGACAGACAGAGCTAACGAAAGCATTTTGCTTTGAAAGATCGTTATCATAATTCATTTCCATTTTGCATTTATTTTCATTGTGATCTTGATAATGGCTTCATACCTATCCTAATTAAAAATCATGAAGGCTCTTCTTTGTGTGTTATTTACAAATTGCCATTATTCTTAAACTTACTTCGAAAACCCGATTATGTTACACACACACGTGATTTATAATAGTTTGAACTACTTTAATGATCTAAATCACGAAGGTTTTGTTATACAGGGTGTACGAGGTGCGTGTAAGAAACGTATTGTTTAATTAATATTACCTAAAACACAATGTTTCCATTGTTAAATATCAATACACTGTACGATCGATAACTTTTTTTGCTAACCTAAACAAAACCAATAAAAGAAAGAAATCAGAAACAGTTAGAAACCATTAAACCCTGTATTATAACAGGTGAAATTTACGGTTTGACTTTACGATAAAATACAAAACAAAGCGACCTTTTTATTGGCACACAAAATAGGCCTAACTCATTTACAGGCACTTTTAGTAACAAGTTTTTGTAGGCATGATTTACATTAGGCGAACTGCTATTTCGGTCGGTAGTTGGCGTCTGTCGTTAACCTTATAACAAATAGAAAACATAAAACGGAAGGGCGGCGACCGATTCTCGTCAGGTTTACGTCGCGCTGTCACGGAATAACGACGTACGGTAGAATTAACGGGCAAATGTGGAAAATCAACGGATCCAGAAGCCCTGACGGTTCGTTTAGCAATTCAACCCTTTGCTTTGCCCTCGGCGAATCGATAACGAATTCATTTAAATTCCTATTGAAACAACGTTAACGAAACTTACGTATTTAACTAGGTAAAGCTAGTTTCTTTTATAGGGACCTTTAGAAAGAAAAAGTTTGAAAGAAACATAATGAAGAAGAATATACCCACAACTAATTTCAAATTACCGACTTTCATTGACATTGACATTGTGCTTTTAAATTTTGTCTCGACTTCGAGTAAGTATGTGAACCAGTGCAATAAAGAAATTACTTGTAACATAAAACCAAATCATGGTAAAATATTTTACATTTTCATACATACATATTTTACATGGTAGAATTGAGCCCTATTATATAAATAGTGATGTGATTCAGGCCAGTTAACGTTAAATGCGAATGATTAGGTAACAGAAGATCGATGCGGCATGGCAGCGTGTATAGGCTCTCGGAAATAGAAAACGTCGCTCTCTCACGTCCGGCCATCGTTACAGGGTGGCGAACCGAACGACGCAGCCCTAATGTGTCCGGAATAACGAATACCGACAAAAACAGCTAACAAGACGATCCTAGATAATGGGCCAAATACGGTCAAATTAGTGTTTGGTTTAGTTTGTGCCTTCAAAGCTGAATTGGCACACTATCTCTATAAATAAATACTGAAAGTAGAAAACAGAAAGATTTAATATCATGAAATACAAAAGGAACAGAAATGGTTTACCAAAGCCTGAATAACGACTATTTATGTCCCCGATTCGGCAAAATGCTTCTGCCAAAAAATACAGTCTATCAGTAATCATAATAAACTTTTTCGGAACATTAATGTTTTCCAAACAAAGGATTGGCAGACGTTGGCTTTGAATCAGGATAGTGTAAAAAATAATTTTCAGCTGAAGCACATAATCCAGCTTTGATAATACAAAATGTTTTGTTCCAGATAGCAGCCGCGACTTCGAGACGTCTTTCTAACTTTAGATACTTCGTTGTTTATTAGCCAAAATTTATTAGATTGCGTCTAATAAATTACTATCGGCTAGGCCATTCAAGCCGGAATGACGCTCCATTTACAATGTAATGACCAGATATTTTACTAGGTAAGTATGTTTACCTAATTAAAACTATCGTGTAATGAGTAACAATTTTTTTGGAATGGAACGCTTAAATAGTTTGTAATGTTTCAGCCCTCAATAAAGCTCTTGTTATAACACTGTAAGCAAATAATAAAAGCTTGTATTTAAATCACAAATCTGCTATGATGCTGTTTGTGGCCGATTTAAATGGCTTAATTGATAATAGTCTAGTCGCGCGCAGCGGCTGCCAAACTCAAAGCGCTGGCGATTCATTTAAGCCGCGAATAAATGAAATAAATAGCACAGAACTGTGCAGAAGTTACTGGCCAGCGGCACATACATACAAGTCATTTGGCGTAGGCTCAGAAAGACCTGCCAAAGGCAACAGGTCGCTCGTGCGCGACGTCGCCAGGCCATAATCATTACCTTGGATCACCTCACTTATTTAGGAAATCATATTTAGAAAGGTTTAGGCTACATTTAAAATAATTTGCTGTTATGTAAAATGTACACGCAGCGTAACCCTATTCTCCGCAAAAGATTAGCAATTTTCCCAACGCACTGTTCTGCTATATTCTAAACATACTAAACGTTTCTGAATGTGAGTTGATAAAAAAAAATATCTGCAAAGTATGGTAATCGTAGTACAATCAAAAGTATTTGATCCTCGTAGCCATTCCAGGGCATTGCACAAAATCCATAAAAATCAAATGAAACTTAGTCAAATAACCTAATAATTTTATATCTTTGTTTGGATAAGATATTTGGCAGTTACTCGTACCTAAGTCACTTGAGATGCTGAGTGAAATTTGCATTTTGTCAACTTCGCACTGCGACGCTTTTAAATGCTAATTTAATTTTGTAGAGTCAGAGCCAACAGACCGTCTTAATTGCCGGTTTTTCCTTCATTCCGAGTTTTGAGTGCGTCTAGTTCCTTTGCCCAAGATTATTTAACACTAATCTAATAAATTCTAACTGATTTACGTCTTTGAAATCCATTAAATTTGTAAATAGTTAAGCCAACCCGCAACTCTATAAAACTTCGTTCGTTTCAGCCAAATGACATCCACTGCTGGACAAAGGCCTCCCTAAGGCTTTCCATAATGAAAGGTCCTGCGCTGCCCGCATCCAGGTTCTTCCCGCAACCTTTACCAGATTGTCGGTCCACCTAGNCCACCTAGTAGGAAGCCTGCCCACGCTACGTCTTCCAGCCCGTGGTATAAACCCGTGGTATTGAAGATGTGAGATTGTGAACTTACCTTAAGTGCATCTTCATGGGAAATCCCCGAGAAAGGCGTCCCGTTGACCTGCAGGATGGAGTCCCCAGGCCGCAGCCCCGCGCGCTCCGCCACCGAGCCCTCCTCTACTCGGGATATGTACACGCCCACTCCTAGACAAAAAGAACCCTGCTTACTCTCATACTAAATTATTATGATAGGTTATCTTACGTGTACGAGTACATGGACATCAGTCACAGATATTCTGAAGGCGTGCAGTGCATTCTAACTTCATTGTTACTACCTAACTAAACACATAAATATGGATGCACCCAAAGTTCTTTTGTCTTTTTGGCTCAAAAGTTGGCAGTGAGAGAATTCCATGTTGTACAGTCTTAGCACAGGTCTTAGTTTGTGCAATAAAGTTAAAAAATAATGGTCATCCATCCATGTATCTAAGATATTATTAAAAAAACCTAATCAATATGGAAAAATGTACGTGTATTATGTTCCTACAGCCTAGCTCAGAATAAAACTACATACTTAATGCCTATAAATACCTGAGATATAAAAGGAAAGCCTGACCTACTTACAGAAGATCTGCAAAGGACGTCCAGTCCATATTAAGCCCAATCCTACAGTCTAATCCGAGTGCCGGAGCGTGTGGTAGTAGCATTTATTATATCGGATGATATAATAAATGCATGGTAACACAATTATTTTTCATATTTAATGTATCACTTAAGAAGAAAAACAAAAAGCTTTTTGTAGAGTAGGCGCACACCGTTGATTTTTCGTCGGCTGATAGTTTAGTCGGCAGTTGATAGCAAGTTTTGCATGTTTTGTACCTGCAAACACGGCCGGCGGGCTAAGCTGGATTACCATTTAGAGTCGCTCGTATCAAACGATGTAGGAAGAAAAATCTTTAACCCTTGTTAAGCCTTTCAGTAAAATACTCGTATGATGGTAAAAAGTATAATAATATCAGTGGATGTTGTAATGATATTAGTCATAAAATTTCCTACTAAATACAATAAAGGTATCCTGTCGATGGAGCTACTATATGTATAGGTATCCTGTCGGCTCAATTCACTTGGGTGAATGGTTCCAAGGTGAAATGATGACACTAGAAAGTGGAATAAACCTGACGAAGATGACGAAGCCGTGCGAGTCGGTGGGGCCTCGGCTCATGTTTGTGCCATAATCAACCTTGNGCTGTATAAACTATATACAGAAAAAAAATCATCGCTCTAGTTACATTTCTCCCATCGATTCTCAGCTCCGCCGCGTAAAAAACGTGTTTGGGATATTCACCCAAATCACTCATTCTGTACTATTTCTGGAAGTATTTTTAAGGTACTCCTTAAAAAGAGAAAGGAGTGAAAAACCAGGCGAGAATTGAAAGGCAAGGATTGACTGGGGATTGTACCAAGTGTTAAACAGTTTATCTAACCATCTCGGGAAATCACAAAGAGTTGAGGTACTTCGCTCATGCACACTTTGGATGGCCTTGGCAACAAAAATACAGTTAAATAAACTAAACTGCAATAAACTCAAAGTATCAGGAATATATTGTTGCTTTTATAACGTACGTATCATTATTCTACGATTTTTTAACAGTGTGTCTTAAACGACTTACTACATCACAAAAATATGAATCTAACAATATGGAGTTTGTACCAAGTGTTAAACAGTGTGTTTTCACGATCTCATGTCACTAAGAAGGGTTTAACTTCAGTATTTCCCTCATGAACACTTTGGATGGCTTTGGTTTGAAGCAAACAACAAATAAACGGGTTATTGCGTCTTTTAACCTAAATATAGCTGACCTAGAATAGCATAACTGCCATCTCTCCCCATGGGTGTCGTAAGCGACTAAGGGATCAAGATGTTCAACTCAACATGCAATAAGAATACTTTTTAATCCATGTTAAAGTGTCATTCAAATAATTTGTTACTTTTTATAGATACGAGAACTAAATCTAAATAAATCAAAAACAAACCCCAGGAACTGACCGGCCCCAACTATTTCGGTTCCTTACAAAACGTCAACTAACATTCATAACTCTAAAAGCATGCATTAGGTATACCAACTGAACATGAAGACTCGCTATTAAAATGACTGATTTCTACGTCAAATCTATTTAACAGCATATTGGGGATTGTACCAAGTGTTAAACAGTTTGTCTTAACCATCTCGGGAAATCACTAAGAGTTTAATTTGGTACTTCGCTCATGCACACTTTGGATGGCCTTGGCAACAACAATACAGTTAAACAAACTAAACTGCAATAAACTCAAAGTAACAGGAATATAATATTGCATTTATGTCGTAGGTATTATTTGAATGTTTGGATTTTTTGGGGAATGTACCATAGTGTCTTAAACGACATTACAAAAATATGAATAAAACAAAATGGGGGTTGCACCAAGTGTTGAACAATAAGTAACATCTCGCGTCAACACATTACAACTTATTAAGGGCTACCTTTTCTTTTTTTATTATTTACATTTTGACGTTCATAAGTGCCACTTGTGGTCTAAACTGAATAAATGATTTTGATTTTTTTTATGAGATGTAATTACTGAAAACTGTACTAACCTAATAACAGCTATCCTAGAATAGCACAACCGAATCAAGACAACAGAGGATACCTGTTCTACGAGCAGCAGAAAGAAAAGAGGTGACGCAAACACAGCAAGCTGCAATGCCATTAAACCACGAGGGAACGAGTAGGCAGGGTTCAACGCAATCGCAACTAAATGATCCTGAAAACAGAAACCATAGACGACACGCATCTCAAAGAAACAGATATTGGGAACAAAGAGAGTGAGATGTTCGTCCGCACTATCGGCCTGCATCTCACAGGAATGGACACCATTTCTCACACCTTAAATCCTCATTTCGGCCGTCGTCCTCGTCGGCCGTTTGGTGTAATTGGACTGGGTGTTTTCTATTGTGGTACAAGCTTTGCTTAGTTTGGGACTAGAAGCGCAGTGTAAAATGTCCAAGGATATTTATTATTTATTTATTATTTCATTTGTACGCAGACGATCTCCAGATATATTCGCGTTGTGGAAGTGGTAAACAGCGGTTTCGAATCAATCTTGGACTGGAGCAGGACTCAAATGTTAGTCATCGCAGTAACGGTGTGACCTAAGTAATATCACTATTATTATTTCTCTGAGGCACACTTTGGATTATCTTGATGACAACAATAGGGTTAAATAAACAAAAAAAAAGCAATAAATTAAGTGATAAGCACAAAAATATGGGGATTGTACCAAGTGTTAAACAGTGTGTCTGAAACATCTCGCGTCAACACTTAATGCAATATAAGCAATAAGTGAAGAATCCCCGGAGGCAAAACGACTACCACCACCGACAACTACAGGCCCGGTAACACATGAGGAACGCAATTTGAGGACTGATGAAAAGACTTACTTAAAGAATAGAACTTAGAAGATAATTAAGAAGAAATGATAATAGGAATCCCTTCCCATCCCAATAACATTGAGAGCACTTAACTGAATGTTGCTGTTTATTTCCTCAATAAATAAAATAAAATAAAAATAAAAAAACTATAATAAATCATAAATACAGTTAATTAACTTATTATAATATTATTGTAACGCCGTTGGATTCTTAAAAAAATAAATAAATAATAATAATTAAGCAGTGTGTCTTAATCATTTCAACACCTATTGCAACCTTTAATAAGTGACGCAGAGAAGTCTACTAACCTAAACACGGCCGACCTATAGTCTGGGTCTGTGAGCACGTAGAATTTTGTCCAATGACCCCAAGCTACCTATCCTTATCGCTCGCGCGCAACTATGTTGCTGTCGCGCTCGCACACTCACTGCGGGCGCCCGTCGCACAGTTGCAACAGCAATATTACGCGCGAGCGATAAGGATGGGTAGCTTGGGGTCATTGGACAAAATTCTACGTGCTCACAGACCGGGCTTTAGTAATAACCGCCATCTTTTCCCATGGTTAGACTGTCAGCAAAGGGACTACCACCACCGACAACTACATGCCCTGGTAACACAAATGATGAACGCAATTTGAGGACCGACTAAAAGATTGGGGATTGTACCAAGTGTTAAACAGTGCGTCTTAACATCTCCTAATAGAACTTAGAAGATAATTAAGAAGAAATGATGATAATAAGGGAAATAAGAATGAGAGCACTTAACTGAATGATGCTGTTTATTTCCTTGGTGTNCTTCCCCGAGTAGTGGTGCTGCGAGTAGGACGCGTGGTGGCCGTGGGACGAGGCCGGGCGCTCCACGATGGTGTACGAGGTGCCCGGCGGCGAGTAGTACGCACTCCCCTGCTCCTAGATTGCCATCCAGTTAAATAGATACCTGCACTGTTGCCGATGTTAGTGGAGCCGAGGTACGGCGCCCGCGACAGCTTCCCCGAGTAGTAGTGCTGCGAGTAGGACGCGCGATGGCCGTGCGAGGACGCCGGCTCCACGATGGTGTACGAGGTGCAAGNGGCTAAGCTGGATTACCATTTAGAGTCGCTCGTATCAAACGATGTAGGAAGAAAAATCTTTAACCCTTGTTAAGCCTTTCAGTAAAATACTCGTATGACGGTAAAAAGTATAATAAGATCAGTGGGTGTAATGTTATTAATCATAATATGTCCTACTAAATACAATAAAGGTATCCTGTATAATATGGAGCTACTATATGTATAGGTAATATATCCTGTCGGCTCAATTCACTTGGGTGAAATCTCATGATCTGAGGGTGAAATGGTTCCGAGGTGAAAATTAAATGATGACTCTAAAAAATCTACTTTGTTCACCCAGGTGAACAAAGTGGAATAAACCTGACGAAGATGACGAAGCTATGCGAGTCGGTGGGGTCTCGGCTCATGTTTGTGCCATAATCAACCAACAACAAATCCTAGGCACCAAGGTGGTTTGTTCTTAAACGCTTCCTACCTGCTTCTTTCCCGCCTTTGACGCAGATGCCGAAGCCGTGCGAGTCGGTGGGATCTCGGCTCATGGTGACGGTGCGCGTCGCGGGCTCCGCCGGCGGCGGCGGCGCACCCCCCGACGAGTAAGGCCGCTCCCGCTCGACGCCACGGTATATCGCCTGTCAAATATTTGCTAATTAGTCACGTTAAAAACTTTCAAATTAAATGACTGAAGCCCGGTCTGTGAGCACGTAGAATTTTGTCCAATGACCCCTAGCTACCCATCCTTATCGCTCGCGCGTAATTATAATGCTGTCGCGACTGTGCGACGGGCACCCGCAGTGAGTGTGCGAGCGCGATAGCAACATAATTACGCGCGAGCAATAAGGATGGGTAGCTTGGGGTCATTGGACAAAATTCTATATGCTCACAGACCAGACTATACACTTGATTGCACGATTGCACCTTTCTATCTGTAAAGTGTCTAGCTCTTCCACTGAAATAACCGTCATCAAGAGTATAGCCGAAACTGAAATTATCGAAATGGGTTCTGATAGCTACAGATGTTACTGGGCCTCTGGCTCAATTCTCCTTAATCGATATTAGATATTAATTCAGATCAAAATCTCTCAACTGTGACCTAGCTATAACAACGCTGTGAGGGGCGTGTAGAAACTTCAGTCTCTAGGCAATAGATTATACAGAACACAACAGTAACATACGAGGAAACATACCTAACATTTTGTTTTCATGTAAATTCCATTTGTCCTACCTAAGGCTTTATTCGCGTCGCGTTCTATTTTTGTTTAACAAGGATCGATGGAACGCAGCTGGCGCAGCCATCGATATAAATAAGGACAACCTACATAACAAAACAAGAGCAAACAGTTTGGAAGAAAGTGGCCTTATTTAAGAGAAAGCAATTTAAATGCCGAAGAGTTTGTAAAGAATTGTTTTCCCCGATATTGCTCTCAGAGCGCGGCGTTTATAAGCAATAAAACAAGGGCCCTTTATTGAGCGAACGTTGTTCCTGGGGCGCTTAGCATATCAAAGGCGAACAAGCCGCCTGCCGAGACTACTCGAACGGTGAGCCCTGGGACCTTTCATATCCCTCGCTGAACCGTTCTGTGAATTGGCATATCTCTGCGAGTTTGTATTGTACTTACAAAGTCATCGGGACCTTGAAGACGTAAACAAGAAGACGTGGCTTTGTTTTTGAAGCTGAGTAGATTAATAGGTTGTTTTAAAATGACTTGACATTATAATAGTATCCTATTATGCTTTATAAATCGCTCTTTTAAGAAACTCTAACTAAATATAAAAAAGGTATTCAATTAACTTTTTTAAATTAATATAAACCTAGATTAAAAACCTAATAAAACACGAGTGCAGATCAACAAGTGTTTCCTTGCGGTAATCACTCAAGGTGCGAGTACTCCCCGGAGGCTAAGCTGACAGCTCGCCCAAACTTTCCACCGCTCTAACTCTGCGAAATGATTAACAACTTCCCCTATGTCGATGCTAATTTTACTCTAACTTGACGAACAGTATGAGTACAGCACACTTACCTACATGCTAAAATGAATCACTTGAGAAAATGAAATCTTTACCTCATAATTTTCCGTGGTTTCCACTTTGAAAACCATGTTGAGCACTGAACGTCACTGTCTCGTAAAAACTCATGAGCATCACGCCCTTAGTATTTCTAGCACACCACACGTTACATTCACTTAAACCAGCTAAATCGATTCACTCATTGCCGAAAACAATGATATCATCTACTTAAACTTTCATAAGTATAAACTCATATGTTTATTGTCTGGGAATCGTTACACTTGTGTTGTTTCTAGAAATTGGTTTCTCGAAGGTAAACACTGCATACGAACGAAACCTCAAACCTGTACCCGCTTTGAATATTTTAAATTCCGCGAAGAAAATCGATTTTGAGCCACACCGACTTAATCGGGCTAGAGCGGAGTCAGAAATAAGCTTCAAAATGTTCACAATTAACCTTCTCAGTAAATAAATATAACGCGTGGTATGTGGCACCACCACTTGTCGACGACTGACGGGGTGACGGCGCACACAACACTGACCGTGGCCTGGTGGGATTGGTGAGGACACGCCTTCATATTTCATTAATGAATAGGTGGCCATTGCTACTGGCTACTTAGTGACAAGACTATTTACGTTTACGCCATACAATATTTTTTTAAATAACTAGGAATTATGCCCAAACTAAACATGTCAACGAAAACCATGTTGCAACAATGCCGCTTTTATCTGAAATTTTCACTTAGCCTTTAAAGAGACGCCCGGTAAAAGATTCAAATTGGCGGCACAAAGGCATTTTCATATGAAAATGAATGAAACGGGTCGTCAATCTCACATTCGCGTTTATAAAGCGTGAGTGAAGAGTCATGTCCACTTTGGCACTCACTAAACGGCCGCCGCTTCGGGCATGAATAACGCAGTGGTATCGACTGACGCAGACTTACCCCTGCTGGAATTATTTACACGTGCGACACCCCCGCAAGCCGGCCGCACTTACCACACTCTATTTTTGGAACTGTGGTTCACCCAGTGTCATCCTTGATGAAGTTTTATCGATTAAATAAGTGGTGGTGCAGTGTGAATATCAAGGACAATCGAGTAATACTATTGACTCACGTAATGAAAAGTTTAATAAAGAAAAATGGAAAACTAACTTGTCTGACTTAAACTCAACTAAATAAAATGCTAGCTTAGGTAGCTTTCCTAACTAGTAACTACCTCCGCCTATCGGAGGTATGGTATGTTTAAATGAATTTATTTTATGATACTGGTGGGTGCGGGAACTTGCAAAGTAATTCCAGTTAGACATAACTTTCAGACAATGTAGCTGCTACCAGGCAGCAGATTCATATTGCTTTGTGTGCGGATGGATGGGACAGGCAAGTGCTGCAACACTATCTGAAGACCTTAGATATTTCGCGCTAAATCTGGCGGGTAGAGTTAAGTCTACAGTCGTTAACCCACATGGGTAGTTCTGCTACAGCTGGTAGTAGGTACTACTGGTAGGTTAAGTTTGTTCTGACCGGCTGCAACGCTGACAAACTACTTGGTCCAAAAGCTTTCGATATTGAATTTATTTGTCCATCTTACTAAAGACACCAAATTGTCGTTATTTAATTATGTATAGGTTTATTGTGTGATTTACTAATCATAGTTTATAAGACCTTTGTTGCTAACACTTTTATGGGCTATGCCTGAAATAAATACCATATATTTTATTTATTGACTCGCGCTATATCTGGTAGACAGATTAAGGCTGAGTTGCACTTCCACCACCTAACTTTGTCCGTATCTTCAACGTTAACAACGTTAGTTACAGCCTAAGTCTATTGTTTTTAACTCACATGATGGGTAGTACTGCTAGGACTGCTGGCTGGAGAGTGCCTTCTTGCCGGCAGCGGTGCCGGCAGCTGCGCGGGAGGGTGGGACGGAGGCAGCGCCTTGCCCAGCGCCGCAGCCCCGCCCTGCCCGAACAGCCGCAGCACCTGTTCAGGCGAGATCGGCCTCTTCTTGCCGTTCGCTGCACTTAGGTGATTCGTGCTGTTCCGTAAACTCGTTGCCCCTGCTGGAAATAAAACTCCATTAGAAGATAACTCTTAGCTGTCTATTTGGTTCAAAGTTTTTGGATTTAATCCAAAAACAATGATTAATAATCAAAGTTAAATGAAGTTCGTGAGTTCATCAAAAGTGGGATCATGTAAGGGCAATTTTCCTATAACATTATTACGAGTAGGTATTTAATAATAGAGATATTTTTTGCAGAAACTTGTTTCAAAATTGTTGAAAAGCGATGCAGAATGCGGCAAGTAGTACGCGCTCCCCTGCTCCTAGAGTGCTATCCATTTAAATAACTTACCTGCACTGTTGCCGATGTCAGTGGAGCCGAGGTACGGTGCGCACAACAGCTTCCCCGAGTAGTGGTGCTGCGAGTAGGACGCGTGGTGGCCGTGCGAGGACGCCGGCTCCACGATGGTGTACGAGTACGAGGTGCAAGTTAGACAGGTAGGTACCTGCACTGTTGCCGATATTAGTGGAGCCGAGGTACGGCACCCGCGACAGCTTCCCCGAGTAGTGGTGCTGCGAGTAGGACGCGAGGTGGCCATGCGAGGACGCCGGGTGCTCCACGATGATGTACGAGGTGCCCGGCGGCGATTAGTACATGCCCCCCCCGCTCTTAGAGTCCTATCCCGTTAAATAGATTACCTGCACTGTTCCCGATGTTAGTGGAGCCAAGGTACGGCGCCCGCGACAGCTTCCCCGAGTAGTGGTGCTGTGAGTAGGACGCGTGGTGGCCGTGGGACAACGCCGGGCTCTCTCTATGATGTACGAGGTGCCCGNGGTCAGACAGACTGCTCTTAATGTATGGGGCGCCCGAAACGGAGGGTTCTGGACACGCGTCACTAAATGAAAGATCGATTGTTAACTGTCGTGATTACACAAGCAATATTTAGTTTTACGAAACCCTAAAAACTTTGTTGTTTGATTGATTAACACTTTTATCCTATGTCCCCACAGGGTAGGAATGCAATGCATTTTTCCTCGACAAAAATGTATAGGTATTAAACCAACGTATTTAATTCCTTAAAAAACATTACATGGGTGGTTACTTTCCATCCTCGCTTTCAATAAGCAGTAAACACACAAAAGTTCCAAAGTATAAAGAGCCAATGATTTATTCATGAGACAAAATTCAACGAAGCAGTGGAGCATCTTATGTGTTTAAGTTCACTCGGCGAAGCTTTCTTTCTGCACTATGACATGGTTTTAAAATAGTAGCAACGAGGCACTGAAGTGCGGCGAACCGTGCTATTCTAGGTGGAAGGTACAACAGCTCGTTGCAAAGTATACGTCAATATGCGATATACTCGTACCTCCTATACCTTATGCTAAAATGGACTATATACCAGTACAAATATTTACTCCTATACACTTTGGTAATTGAGTTTTATGCGATACGATGAAAAGTTATCTACGAAATTCCGTAGATCACGTAGCAGCAATCTGCTGGAAAATCATGAAGTGTATAAAACAGACACGTTCAAATGTTTGGTTTGATCTTATCCATTTGAATAAGCTGTCCGTGTGCAAAAGTACTGGGGGATATTTCACATTTAAACACGGGTTTAGATTAAGTTATAATAAAATTATGTACAGACAGACAGAGTAACAGTTTTTAAATATGAAATCTGTAGGCTTATTTAAATTAGCGTCCAGTAATAGCGCCCTACCCTAGCGTAAAGGCTACGAGAAAAACAAACTCAAATGTACTACGAATGGAGGCAGTCCTGAGATACGAGCTCACAAATAGAGAGTTTAATTAAACAGATATTACAGTCGTAGCGACAGTTACATGCTACGAAAACATAGATCTCAAGAAGCGTAGCACTACGAGAAAAGTGAACACAGTGCTACGAGCCTACGACTGTGTGCTACGAACTGATCGTGCGCAAGTCTTGTGCCAACTTTGGTTTTTATGAACAGAAGAATAGCGGGGCTCGCTTGTTACGACCGAACTCTTGGAGCCAGTGAGCATGAGCTATTTCCAAGAGTAGCGAAGAAATGGGTTAGAGGCAAAACCTGTAGGATTTTCTCTTTAATTCTGATCTAGTAGCACGTGATAAAAATAAAATCAAATATGTAAATGACTTTTTTTTAAATTACTAATAATTAAAACTATTTACAAAATAAAAAAATATTTCACCCCCAGCGCCGCAGTCAGGAATGGTGCCCAAAAGGCTGGCAGCATTGCCACGTTGAATGGCCAGGCTAATTCTCTGACCGAAATAGTTGCCAGCCTTTTGATCACCGGTCACCTCGGTGAGCCTCTTCCTTAGTTCCTTATAAAAGAAACGAGCGCTTGGACCCCATGGTCCCATAGTCTCAAACTCTCAACCCCAAACGGCACAAATATATAACTGTGGTTGACTGGCAGATAATGCCACCTGGCATTAAGTCCGCCACTGTACAATTGTATGTGCAAAAGTGTAAATAAATAAAATAAAAAATAAATAACTCTCATTGAGAGCTGCATATTTGTGCCGCTTAAAGCACTCAGCTGAGGCCGTCGCCGCGCCTGTATGAGACGGAGCAAGCGTATCCGTTTTTATTTTGTAAATAGTTTTTATTATTAGTAATGTTTAAATTTTAGTTCTTAAGTTTATGTAAATCCCAACTATCCCAACTATCCCAACTAGTCCCAACTAATATTATAAATGCGAAAGTAACTCTGTCTGTCTGTCTGTCTGTCTGTTACGCTTTCCCGCTTAAACCTCGCAACCGATTTTGATGAAATTTGGCATAGAGATAGTTTGAGTCCCGGGAAAGAACATAGGATAGTTTTTATCCCGGTTTTTGAAACAGGGACGCGCGCGATAAAGTTTTTCTGTGACAGACAAAATTCCACGCGGGCGAAGCCGCGGGCGGAAAGCTAGTATACTATAAAATTATTGTTTATCAGTTAAATGAAAATTGAATACTTTTTTTAAGATTTAATCGGTTTTGCCTCTTACCCAGCGATATACAGGGCAAAATTAATGGGATGTGGGTTTTACCTGCTGCGACCGCGAGTGCCTCGCGAGGTGATGAGCAGGCGGGTGCTGCGGGGTGGCGGAGCGCGTCCAGCCGTAGCCCTGCGCGTAGGGCGGCGGCCAGCGCGCGCCGAACTCCGCTAGCTCCGAGCCCTCGCCCACCTCCCCCGACCTCATGCCGGGGGTCACCCTTCACCCTGGTGACAAATAATGGTGTTGACTGACTGCAGAATAAAGGGACATGTTATATAGAAACTAGCGGCCGCCCGCGAATTCGTATGAGTGGATCCTGTTTCGTTTTACCCCCTTAGGAGTTGAATTTTGCAAAATCCCGTCTTAGTATCTACGTTCTAAAAGGAACCCCCATGCAAAATTTGAGACTCTTAGCACTTGTAGTTTCTGACATTTCATGATGAGTGAGTGAGTCAATCAGTCAGTGACCTTTCGCTTTTATAAATATAGATGTACAGTCTAAACTAAGACTTGGTGGATTTTAACGTGACGTCATATGTTGCAGTTGTCATCTGATCCGGCTTCATTACCATCACCATCCATGAATCCATGATCCAGTTCCACACTGTTCCTATCTCTACTATTCGGCTATTCTGTTTCAGATACTTCCAGCCTTCGAGTGTAAAATGACATGCTTGGTCTGAATGTATGGCGACTTATGACGCATCTCCATGAACAGTGCTATGTTAGGGTCTAAAACACAATGCTTCTAGGAATTACATGGCCAATTGCTTTACTCCTAATATTTCGAAGCTGAAAACAGCTAATCAAACAAAGGTGACCAGGTGTGGCAAGTCACAGGAGCGGCTGTACACAAGCCTCCATCGCTGTGTGTCTTGTAAACACCACTGTTTACATTATACCTGCCAAAAGGTCTAATGGCAGACATCATACCTACAGGTGTTGATATTCAATGAGCGCTATATTTATGGATGTGTGGTGTGTGTTCAAACCAATAATGTATTATGATGATTATGAGCATCTTCCATAAGGTTGTCCCTAAATTGTTAAAAACGTTCCCTTTTATCATCACATGGGTTTTGATGGCATCCAATTAGTTGATTAAAGGTTTTGAAACGGTTTTTCCAAAGTTTCATAATAGAAATCCACATAAACCTCCACTTTTCTCCTCATGGTTAAATAATAATTACGCAGGTCTATTATTAAAATTTATTGCACATATTTCACTGAACTGAATAGCAAGTATTTCAATAAAACTGGTTATAAATAAGACCCCAATTTTAATGTCTAACTTAGTTTAATTGAATACGGCGACTATTAATGTAATCGTGACTTTTATGAGCTCCGGCTACTACGCAAAAGTTCTTTAATTGATAGCTGGGTGATAATTCACAAGTTCTGGAATGCAGCGTACGTACCGCGGGTCGGAGCCAAATCACGTACCGACCCGTGTACAGAGCTCGTGCCACCTACTACCTACTCAGCGAGGAAAGAAGTGATTGTCTTAACGCGCTAAATAAAAATAGCTTTTACTTCTAGATCGACTTCGTTTTTACTTAATAGTAGTTATTTTAACATACGACTTAATTAAACCTGCAAATTAAATTGGTCCGTAACAAGAGTTTCATGATTTGGAGCTCTTTTGTTAGTTTAATTTTATTCAATCCAAATCTAAAATAGTGGTACTCCTGTAGGAAAATTGATAGTGTTAGAATTTTTAAATTCGAATCTTTATTTCAGCAATGGTCTGTCTGTTGTACTACCTATATGAACTTTGTTAAATGACATTGGGAACTTTTTGCCCCACTTTTCGAAAAGTAGCGGACACAAACGAAACCTATCACAGATGATACATACTAATATCCAATGAATTTCCGTGCATTTTTTTTTCTCTCTTATATGGGAATATTGAGAAAATGAAGTATTAATATTTTATTTTATTTTACATTTAGGTAACATTTTTGACGACCTCGGTGGCGGAGAAGCGCACACACCGGTTTTCAAGGTGTGCCGGGCCAATCCTGAGGTCCCGGGTTCGATTCCCGGCCGGGACAATATAGAAAACGATCTTTTCACATTGTCTCTGGTTTGGGTGTGTTGTGGTTCGTCGTTCCCGATTTCCATAACACAAATGCCTCAGCTACTTATTTTGGGTTGGAGTAATATATGAGATGTTGTGTAATATTAATTTAAGTATTTATAATATTTTATTTATTTATATTATTTTATTTACTTTTATTGGTTACTCTGCAATGCCAAACAACATAACATATAAAAATATCAAATCATTGTAGACAAATATATTTTCAACTTAGACTCGTCATATCTCAGAATTCCCATATTTATTTATTTATTTATTTATTTCCACACACATATATATCACAACATAGCGCTTTAAGTGAATATACCTACAAGTATAAAGCTTTGAAATAAAATACGTTTCATCTTTGTCCGCCGTGGGGCATTTTCTCATATTAAAGTTCCCAATGTCCTTTCCCGACATAATTTATTTTTAAACAGTTTGTAGAGTTACTAAAGTAGTACTTAACTAACTTGTTCGTGTAAAACTTGGTTTCCAGTTTTAATAATCAAAACAAAACAAATAAGTTCAAAACCCAATGCGCGATAATAACAGCAATTCATGAAACAACAACCTTCATGAGTTTTACTTCTAATTGTTATTCCATTTACGATTCCGCGCCCTAACGGCGTTACAATAGCGGCCGTAAACCGGCCACTCATCCCACGGCGGTTACTTGCCGGTTACCCGGCAATTTGCCATAAAGGCTATCGTAAAGTAGCCAATGAGCGTTTAAGCGCGAACGGCACTTCCGGTGCAGCGCACGCGACAACGTTTAATGACAATCCGTTATTTATAACTATGGTAATCTCAAGCCGATGACACATGTAACACCCTGTTAATTAATATCAGCAATGGATGCCTTGCACTAGGTGGTATTTTAAACTTAAATCGCTTTAGAACTTGGCAAAGACAATCTTGCTACATAGGACTTTCAAAGTTAAAAGGGAATTTTTATTCAGATCTTTTGTAACTTAGGTCAGTTTTTCTATTAGGATAAATCCAACTAAGTAAATATACTAAAGGGATCATAATTGAATCGCTGAAAACACTAATTTTGAAAAGTCGCGATAAGTGTAATTGCGCACTACGATTGAATTGCATAATAGGTACCTAAGTAGCGGTAAACACATGCCATTTCAGTTAGTCTGACAAATTATAACATTACACCCAATCACCTACAATTCTATAATTAATCAATACTCCGTGAATAGAATGCATCAATATTCATAACCTCGTTGCACCGGCGAGTTAATTGTTTGGTCGGAATCCGGGACAATAGCGAGGTGAGCTTAGAGTCCACTCGTGTGCCGGAGATAGCCACTTGATTGCATAACCGCTCTGCACTGCAGCATAGATATTGCCGTGTATTGGAATGCCTTTCAAGCGTCTGGCTTTGTGTGAAAAAATCCGATCGAATGTCAGCTTTTCAGCTGCACTCGAGCGCTATGCGGGACACAATAGAAGGGATGTTTGACATTTAATCGAACAGGAAATAGGTAGGTATGAAGTTTGCAAGGTTTTCCTTTTAAGATTATTAATTCATACAACAACATGTGGAACCTTAAATTTTATGTATCTTGGAGATGATAACTACTATTTATAAAAAAAGAAATTTAAATAAAATCAATTGTTATGCCACAGCACTAAAAGACATCCCAAACTCGAAGATGAACTCTATCTCAACTTATCAAAATCTGCGTAAATTGCTGCTTTCAAGCTACATAACTAAAACTAAGAGCTCACTACTGAACTGTTTTAACATGGATTTGTCAAATTGATATCGGATTCAGACGAATTGATATTTTTATACTTTATGCGAACAGACTTACAAACACTGTATCTAATATTAATGAAATGGTATTACCGCAAAGCTCTATAGTAATTGCTTTCAACTATCTAATTTTTTACTGCTGGCTGGCTCACATCTATAGAAATTATGCAACTTGTACGTACTCAAATAACACACGTTTAAACCCGCCCAGTTCGAGCACATTGAAAGAAATTGGCCCAACTATCCTTTCCTGCGATAATTTATCTCGGCAGCCTGCAGTCGGACCAGACGCGCTGGCGCCGCGCCAGCGGCCGGCGCCGGCTCCGGCCCTTATATCGGTTTATGTCGTAACTCCAGATCCCGCGATGTCTTTCGTCGATTTCATGACGTTTTACTTACAATCCAACTTTTTGATCGCGGCCTCGATCTGTCCAAAAATTGGACCTGAATTTCCTAAAATTGTAAGAAGCTCTAGTGTCAATATAAAATAAATGAAAATATTTTATGGCTCTACATTTACAAATGTTCTTTAGTATTTCCCAATTTGACATTATTGACCCTGATTTATTATGTCTAAGCAACTCTATAAATATTTACATTCATGTAGTTCGTTTAATTGTGTTATTTATCACATTTATGTAGTTCGTTTAATTGTGTTATTTGGACAAAGTACATAATTCAATACCTATAAGACGCTTTCTTGGAATTTTCATTTAGCAATAGCGTGAGAGATCTAATAAAATTTGGGCTTGTCTCTACGTGACACGAATCATAGAGATGAGAAGTTTAAATTTGAAATGCTGCATTTTAACCATGCAGTGCAGCAGGCTGATCATCTAGAATTAATAGAATATGTCAAGTAAAGCCTACATGATGATCAAAAAACTTGTTGAACAAAGAAGTGGTCAGTTTTATGACGTATGTAGGTAGTTTTATTTCATTTCAAAATGAAGATCGACGACGAAGTTTCTTTGTCTGACGACGAACTTCTGGACGTAAGCTTTTCCAAAAACTGTCACAAAGCTAAAACCATTTTTTCATCCAGACTTATACCGATTAAAATTCTAATTCTATAACAACATTTTTTTAAACTATATTTCAGCTTTAACCTCACCGTCCTTATACGAGTAAAGGTATTCAAGAAGATAAACACAGAGCCTTTAATTAATCACCTTACCTACGATGAAGTTTACCGCGTCACTGAGCTGTGCCTGGTTCATTCAAAAAGGCGTTTATCATTCAGCACATTAGTATAATGTGGGCGTGTTGTGCCGGATATCTTCTCAGTTACGATCGAAACAGACCACTGGGTCGGAAAACGAGGGCGGTCCGAGATAACCAAATGGAAAATTTGCTTGGAGTGCCGGCAGCGGGCCACTGAACTAGACTCTCTGCAGCCGGCAGATTCCTATCGCTTCATTAAATCCACCGCATATCGGCTGTTTATTGGATATGCCTCTGTTTACTTGATACAATTCAGTGCTTGATTTTCTAGTGTTTGTCTAAAGCATCTAAAGGCTATGTTAAGCTAAACGAATGACCAACTTGCATCTTTGCTTGAGTTTGTATCGAGTTTTGAGCTTTAATTAAGACTTTATAAGCCTGTACAAGTCACAGGCTTATAAAAATACAATTAGAAACTGAAATATTACAGACTCCAATAAAAAGTAGATAACTACAGACAATTCGTAATGCCATTCTAACATTATTGATATTGCAGTAATTGTAAAACATTTTTGCTCCATAAATTCTTAACTAGCAACTAGGTTAATAAGGTTAGCATTAAGTAATTATGCCAATAATAAGCGAAGTGAAATAATTGTATTTCCTAAGACACTTTAAACTAATTCTGTTTCATGTGTTGCTTTTCCCAGCCACTGAGCCCATTAATCTGTTCCGGTCTGGGGCCTAGAAGCTAAATTACGACTTTCCATCTTAGTGCGGCTCCCAGTTAATAACACATCCGTTTTGTCAGTCCCTCTTCACGGTGCGGCCTCTTAATTTCGCATAAGAAAATGAAATTCGTATGAATGAGATTACTTTCTTGGAAAATGGCGAACTGCTTTGCGTTAGGAAAACGTCGTGTAGGTACTTACGTAGTGAATTTGCTGAAATTATTTATTTGAATGTGTCATTTTCGTCAAAATAGCATAGAATTTGTGTAGAGTAGTGTATTATTACCTATAAAATAAACAACTTCGTTAAATATAATATTTAACGCTCTATGCAAATTTTCAGCTGAAACTTACTACGACATGTTCTACACAGATTGTTTTCGAAGTTACTTTAACAAAAAAGAAGCTGTGAAGCCAAAAATATTTTCATTTTGTTAGTCGACTCAGCAGTTTCAACATTTTTGGTGGTAAAACAAATATTGTAAAAAGACAATGGATGCGAAGGGCGCTCGTGACGTCACGGGAACGGCGGGCAACGCGCGGGGGAGTGAGTAGGTTCAAGGGCGTGCATGTAGGTCAGTGGGACACGAGCGGGTGCTACCGTGGTCTATGGACGGGACTCCAATGCTTGTTTATGCTTGTTTATTCTATTTGCCACCCCCAGTCGAGGCTAGCTAGTCAGGAAACGAAACAATGTTAGAGCAATCACGGTCGTGAAGTATTAAAATCCGAAAACTTCTGATGCTGTTGAGTAGATTAAAAGTTTTTGTCAAACTCGAGGCTTTTGACTAGCTCAAGAATCATTTTAGAACGAAATTTATCAAACTTAATAGGTACGATTGTNCCATATTTCCATAATGAAGAATATTTTGAAATTGAGGAATTGTATATCAACATACGGGCGGATTTAATGGATATTTTGGCTGGAATAGAAGGTCAACGACGTTCCGTCGAAGCAGTAAACTTTTCAACATCTACTCAAGACAGTCAACAGCCGTTCGCAAAGTTACCAAGAATACAATTGCCTACATTCTCCGGGAAATATGAAGACTGGCCAACATATCAAGATTTATTCGAAGCACTTGTTCACAACACGTCATTAAGCGATGTACAAAAACTACATTATTTGAAAACAAGCGTATCTGGGGAAGCTGAAATGTTATTACGTAACATACAAATAACCGGAAGAAACTATACACAGGCATGGAATATTCTCAAAGAGAGGTTTGGAAATAAAAGAATAATAGTTAATTCGATTTTGAAGAGGTTGTTCGCTCAGAAGAAAGTTATTAGTCAGTCGGCAAGCCAAATGAAAACATTACTTGACACTACTGCGGAATGTATTACAAGTTTGAATAACTTCAAAATAAAAACAGATTCTTGGGATCCAGTAATAGTATTTCTGGTGGGGCAGAAATTGGATACAGAGTCGTTAAAGGAATGGGAACAACAAGTTCACAAGGATAACTTCGATGAACTGCCTACCTGGGCTGAAATGAAGAAATTTCTCGAGTTGAAATTCCGAACCTTAGAACTAGTTGCTCCAATTACATCAAATAGTACTAGAGAGAGGTCTACAAATCAAAAATCATTCCACATTGCGTCTGAAGATAATGAAATTGATGAAATTCAGTCTGCACATTCGAGTATCAATTCAAAACAAACTTGTTCGTACTGCAATGAAGTTGGTCACTACATCTATAGTTGTAAAGAATTTGTGAAGCAACCTGTGGACAAGAGACACGAATTCGCTAAGAAGAGAAACTTGTGTTTTAACTGCCTCATTCCAAACCACAGTGTATATAAATGTAGACAAAAAACATCGTGCCGAGTTTGCCAAAGAAGACACCATTCGCTTTTACACCAAACAAAGAACACAAATCAAGAAGAAAGCTCACAACCAGAACAGAATATCACAACTGCACATTTCTCCAATGAACAACCCGGTCACAAAGTATTATTAGCAACAGCACAAGTCGAGGTCTCAGGGAACGATGGTAATACACACCTGCTTCGTGCTTTAATCGATCAAGGGTCAGAGGCTTCATTCGTTTCTGCAAGAGTAGTTGAACTGTTAGGCCTGAAACGGACTAATATCAACGGTGTGGTCTCTGGAGTAGGAGAAAATACAAAGGTACCGATCAAACACTTAGTCGACCTGTCAGTCAAGTCGCAATACAATGATAAGGAAATTATACAAGTGAAGGCCTACGTTTTGAAGAAAATATCTACATGTCTTCCCTCGAGAAACATTGTGGCTGACTGGAAAGAGCTCCAAACGTTACAACTGGCTGACCCTGCCTATCACACGCCTGGTAAAATCGACCTATTACTCGGCGCAGACATCTTTTGTAAGATAATTGAAGAAGGGCTAGTGAGGATGCCAGATGGGATAGTTGCTCAAAAGACAAGTTTGGGGTGGATTCTCTCGGGTCAAAAGGACAAAGGAAACAACAGTCACAATTTGATTTCACTACATATAACAAGTATGGTGGCTGAAGATAATGATTTACTAAGAAAGTTCTGGGAAATAGAAACTGATTTGTACAAAAAGAAGAAACTACTGACAAAAGAAGAAGAGAGATGTGAAGACATATACAAACAAACAACTAGAAGAGAAAACACTGGAAGATACATAGTACACTTACCTCTGAAACAATGGAATAACCAAGCAATTGTTTTTGTAAATTAAATCATCATATATAAAGAGTTCTCCTTTAAATGTATAATATGGTTTTAAATTATCTGGTATATTTTTTATATTAGGCCACCCATTTTTTATACATTTTGTTAATTCAATCAATTCTTTGTCCTTTGCAGTTTCTGTTTGTATTAATTTATATTTGGATGATGGAATTTTTAAATTACATCTAATCATGCTAACATGTGGCTCTACCAGATCATCTAGAACCGTATCATCATCTTTAGAATTATTAAAATTGCGTGATAAAGAATCTGCTAGCAACAGTTCTTTGCCTGCTTTGTACTTCACTACTAGATCGTATTTTTGTAATTGTAACCGCATTCTTTGTAACCTCAATGGTACATCACACAATGGTTTTTTAAATATTATTTCAAGTGGTTTGTGATCTGACTCAACTTCTATAGTTTTACCGTAAATATATTGATGAAACCTCAAGCAACCATAGACTATAGCTAGCATCTCTTTCTCAATTTGTGCGTACATTTGTTGTGTGGTTGTCATTGCTTTAGAGGCGTATGCAACAGGAAGATCATTTTGCAGTAACACTGCTCCTAACGAGTTTTTTGAAGCATCCACTGACAGCTTACAAGGTTTATTAGGATCATAAAATTGCAATACCGGTTCTGAACTTAATATCTCTTTCAACTGTTTAAATGAATCATCTTGTTCCTTATTCCAATTAAAATCTACACCTTTTCTAATTAATTTTCTTAATGGATGACAAACTTCTGACAGTGAAGGGATAAATTTAGAGACATATGTAATCATACCTATTGCCCGTTGTAAGTCTGCTACATTCTTTGGTTGCTCTAGGTTTAGTATTGCCTGTACCTTTCTTGGGTCCGGTTTGATGCCATGTTTTGATAATATATGCCCCAAATATGTGATTTCTGAAACACCAAATTCACATTTTTTTAAATTAAATTTAATACCATTTTGCTTTGCAATTTTTAACACCTCCAACAGTCTTTTGTCATGTTCAGCCTTAGTTTTTCCATATATTATTAGATCATCAATGAAAGCTTCACAACCAGCTACCTGTTCAAATATCTGACTATATTGTCTATGAAAAATTTCGGGCGCTGAGGCCAATCCATAAGGCAGTCTTAAAAAGCAGTATCTACCAAAAGGAGACGCAAATGTGCATAGTTTTGAACTATTCTCACTCAATTTAATTAAATAAAACGCAGTTGAGGCATCTAACTTACTGAACACTGTAGCGCCAGACATTTTGGCTGATACTTCATCAAAAGTTGGTAGTTTAAAATGCTCTCTTCTAATACAATTATTAAGATTACTTGGGTCAAGGCATACCCTCAGCTTGCCATCAGGTTTTTTTACAATTACTATATTGCTGACAAAATCTGTAGGTTCGGAAATTTTTTGAATTACATTTAGTTTTTCCATCTTATCTAATTCTCGTTTAAGTGACTCATGTAATGCCATGGGTACACCTCTACAAGGCTCAACTTTAGCTTGATAGTTATCTTTTAATTTTATCTCATACTCTACATCTTTTAATAAACCTAATTTTTCATCAAAGAGATCAAAATTTTCTTTAATCAATTGTTCATAGTCACTATTTTTGCCCAAAGTGATCTGGTTCAAATACTTACGTTTCAGTAGTTTCAGCGAAAATATTGTTTTATGACCTAAGACTGCTGGAGATTTTTCTTTGCTATCAACCACCTGAAACAATATTTGTGTATTTTTTCCATTTATTAGTTGACATTTTAGCCATACTTTTCCCACACAATTAATATTAGATCCATCATAATTACAGAGCCTTAGACCATTTTTTGACATTTTATGTTCCAGTGACAATTTTTTTAATATATGTAATGGTAAAACATCGCAGTCACTACCTGTGTCTAGTTTAACATCAACAATTTTATTGTTAATCTGTAAAGACTCATACAACTGTCTGTTTATAGAATTATTAATATCGTCTTGAACCATACCTAGTACTATGTCCGAGTCATCACTATCCTGATCCTGATTTACAGCATGTACCTGAGAGGGGGTCCTGCACATTTTGGCATAGTGTCCATAACGGTTACATTTCTTGCACCGGTAGCCAAATGCAGGGCATTTAAAACCATGGTAGTATCCGCACCTCATGCACTGCTTCCTTACTGCTTGACGACTGTCCCGAGTTTCTGGCAAATTCTGATTCCTATCACGAAAATCTTGCGGTTTTTCCAAGTTTCGATTTTCATTTTTATGTGTTGTTCTGCTTATATTATTTACCTGCATCTCAGTGGTAATTTTTTTTACATTTTCTGTGGCTAATTCTGCCGCTTTGCAAATTCTGATACATTTGTGCAGGTCTAGGTCCGGATCCTGAAGTAATGCTTCCTGTAGTTTGCAATCTCCAATGCCTCTAATTATCTGACTTTTTATTAAGCTGTCTTTTAATTTGTCAAAATTACAATCCGAACTTAATGTTTTCAAAGCTGTCACAAATTCACCAAAAGATTCGCCTTCTTTCTTCTCTCTGGTGAAGAATAAGTGCCTTTGCATCGTCTCATTTTTTGCTGGCGAGCAGTAATTTCTAAATTTCTCTAGTATTGTTTTAACATTTAACTTTTTTTCGCCGTTTTTGTCCACTTCAAACTCAAATGTGTTATAGACCTCTAATGCATCGTCTCCAATAACATGTAGAAGCAAAGCATTCTGACCATGTTCATCCAATCTTTCTTCAGCCCCCGATGCTTTAAAATAGAGCAAAAACCTTTGCTCCCATCGCTTGAAGTTTTGCGAAATATCGCCCACTAACGACAGCGGCGGCGGCTGTTTTAACATCTCCATCTTAATTTTCTAATACTTATTAAATTCTTACCACTCGACTGCGCCATATAATATAGTTATTTATTAATTCAATAATTAAAACACTTTGTACTCCGACATCTTTATTATGTGAATGACAGATGATCGTCGACCACAGATAACATACATCACACATCCGGTAGGTTAGACGACCATGCCGACATCGCAGCCACTCCGCTAGGACAGGCAGAAGTGCCTGCACAGCGCGACGAGCGACTTGACTAACGGCCAAGCGTCCTCTGCAGCATTCTAGGGCCATCTCCTCAAGCTCTTCTTTTTTAGCCTCAACCTCACGGGGCGCATGCCTTTGCCCTTCAGATCTTTGGTCTCCCCGCCACTGGTGGTACCTATACCGCGGCGAGGACCTTGGCGTTCAGGTCCCAAGGCATGCTCCCAGCCAATGAGAGGGTTGCGTCTGCGGATATTGTGCGGTACCCGCAGACCACCCTCAAAGCAATCAAGCGCTGTGCCTTCTGCAGAAGAAGGGTTGTAAATAGTTTACTATCCCATCAAACTCGGTCGAAAATAAGATGCGTACTTTCATGCACATCATCAGGTTCATACTGATGATCAGTCCGATTAAACTATCGGCCGATAAAAAGTCTGCAGTCTACGGGGATTCTAAAAGATATTATTGCTGCTGTTGACTTTAGTGGTTTACCCTACATCGGGGCATCCGTAGTCAAGAGTTCTTTGCGCATGGAATACTTATTGTTTTATGGATGCATCCCATGATTATAACGTTAATGAATTCAATTAAGAAGAAAATAAGTTAATTGAAGTATGGGTTATTTAATGGGTGGGACAGAAATGAATTTTCAAAATGTAGTAGATAAGGATTAATTATTTTCATTGTCATTAAATTTGTTAGATCCTAAATCATGTTTTAATCGATAAAATGAGTTAGGTGGAAACAGATTTCTTTTAGCTACAAACTACAGCTAAGTGAAAGGCGCCGAAAAGTACAACGTGTTATGACCGCGTTCGTGTGACCTAATTTTGAGAATGAAGAAAAATTAATAAATAATAAAATATTATGTTAAAATAATATTTTTTTTGAACATGAAATGATTAAAGTGTAAATAGTTTTTGGAATGATTATTTTGCACTTTCATTAAATTCAATTCCATATTTTTTATACATGGCAATACCCAACATCTCATTATTGTTCTATCAATTTAATGTGTTATTAAAATTTTATACGATTATTTTTCATCAAGGAATAAAAGTCCAGATAAGATAAAATAAAACTGAATTTAATATTGTCAGAAAATTTAACAAAATAAAACTAAAAAACATTTTCTATTTTTTTAGCTTGCAACAGTAATTTTAATTTTGACAGCGCCAACTAGTGGCCAATTTCCGAAACTTCTTATTGATATCTTTCGCTCTATGTTCATGTTGTAACTTTCTTGTTAAAATTTGTGTTACTTGCTGACAAACCTAATGTTTATTGAATATGTGCTCGTGTTTGGTTTGTTCTCGGATATAATGAATTAAAAATCACGTCTCAATGTATATGTTATGCGGCAAGTTCCTTTCAAACCCAATGACATTAGATGAACTCGATGTGCGTTTTGGCCATTTTACTTGGCTTGCGTTGGTGATTCGTACATAGTCACGTGACCAAAGTGGTTTTTGGATCAATGGCGCCAAATGTCTGTTACAGAAAATGTATGTAAAATATGAGGTATTTGAGCTTATTTACATTATTATGGTGAAGTTCGTTATAAGTTTTTACTATTAGTCATACATTCACAGCTAGGAAAGACGGGAATGATGCGTAGGGCTCATGTCAATCTGGCAACAAAACAGTGCTGCTATCTATGTTGTCAATTTTGTTATGTAGTCTCTAATGGAGACTACCAGATAAATATTTACGGTTAATTATAGAAGAATGGAAATATCTTAGCAGTAATAAAGAGTTCTGTGAGTGCATTTCGTTTAATTATGATTGGCGCAGGAGCCGTGCGCCGTGGGTACTGAAAGCGTCTGTCCCGCCGCTATTTACTCGCGCTGCTCGGCAGTCGCAGGCCCGCCATACATTTTACTCGTGCTCTAAGTGAAACGTCAAACGGGAATTCTAATTATTTTCAATATTATTCGCTACAAATGTGTTGCAAACAATCCTATGTGTGTATTTATGATTATGGTGAGGTAAAATTTTGATATGATTAATAATTACCTGTGTCTAGTAGCATTGTCGAAATCTGAATTGACATTATTGTTCTTTACGTCAAAATTCCCTTTATCGTGCCAATTAAAAAGAAGCAGTATAGGTACTCACTAGAAATTGAATAGATCTTTCATTTTTTCATGTTAGCAGCATTGTATTTATATCAAGAAATGCACTATTGTTTATCACACTGTTTTGTTGTTAGCTGTGGATCTGGACTGTCAGTTTGACACAGTAACCATTCGGATTCGGTGGGATACAGTCCTCACATTATTTTAGCTTCAAATTCGCACCATTGAAGCCTTTATACAGAATAATAATAATGTCCTGGCTCAGTAAATAGTCAGTGAACTACATGGGTGTTTTTTTTTTCAGGTTGTACCATTTGCATTATTCAATATTAAAGTGCCATCATGTAGTAAATGATGTGACATTTTACACGATGCTACTGCCGCGTTCTAAGTGTAAAGCAGTAGTTGGTTCGTGAACATGTAGGTTGTGGAAGTGCTAACAGAGATGTCTATGAGAGGGAATAAGCGAGCAACTGGGCTGCGTGGAGAGTCCAGCCAGCCTGGCACATCCAAGGCAAGCCAGCCAAGCACATCTAAGGCTAGCCAGCCAAGTACATCCAAAGCTAGCCAGCCAAGTACATCCAAAGCTAGCCAGCCAAGTACATCAAAGGCCAGCCAGCCAAGTACATCAAAGGCCAGCCAACCCAGCACATCAAAGGCGTGTCAGCCAACCACGTCTAAAGATTGCCAGCCAAGCACATCCAAAGAGTGCCAGCCGAGTACATCCAAGGCGTGCCAGCCGAGCACGTCCAAGGCGTGCCAGCCAAGCACATCGAAGGACTGCCAGCCGAGCACATCCAAAGCATGCCAGCCAAGCACATCCAAGGCTTGCCAGCCGAGCACATCCAAGGCAAGCCAACCTGGCACATCCAGGCAGAGTCAGCCTGGCACATCCAGGCAAAGTCAGCCCAGCACATCAAAACAGAGCCAGCCTGGCACATCCAGGCAGAGCCAGCCCAGCACATCTAAACAATGCCAGCCTAGCACATCCAAGCAGTGCCAGCCTAGCACATCTAAATGTGAGCCAGGTCCATCTGGCACGTCTAAACGCCGTAGAGCAGAGCCTGATGACTGGCAGCTCAGACCAGATGTGAAGATGTCGTCCATATACAACAGAAGTGCCTCTGAGGCACCAGCAGAACTATTCAGGTTTGTGTGATTTTTTGGTTTAGTGCTGCTGCTGTGATTTATCTTATGGTTACAGAAGTGTGGAACTGGTGTTATGTTAAAATAAGAGTTTTAATTATCTTTGATAGCTATTAAGTTTATAAGATATTTGCTATATGCGAAAATTTTATTCATATTTGCAAATGCCTTTTTGTGTTTGGTTTCCTAAGTTTTTGAAAAGGAATTGAAAAGCTAAAAGCTAAGTATAAATGAATTAAGATGTACAAAAAAACAAAACTTGAGATTTTTCTCAGTAACTCCAGTTTTTATCATAACAAGTTAAATATTACCATTCTTTGTTGACACAAGGCTTATTTATAGTGTTCTACAAGTTGATCAATTAGTTAATAAGTTAAAATGAGAGAAGGGCATAATGACATTTTAGTTAATAGAGCATCAGCAATAAGCAGTGCGAATGTAAGATTGCAAAAAGCTACAAAAGTTAGCTTTAATTTATGACACAACTTTTTAGATATATCTATAGATTACTAACTTTAAAAATAACTTTATATTTCTAAGGGTGATTCGACCAAACAAGAGTAAATATTAATCTCAGAATAAATCGTCAGTTAATTCACATTTCATTTTAAAACTGTCAATGTGCCAGTTATACCAGGAGTTATTCTAGGATAAAAGTTTGGTCGAATCGGGCCTAAGCTATGCGTATTTTAGTCATTAGTATTTTATGTTTAAGATTTGTATTAAAATTAAATAGATAATACAATACATTTTAGAATTCAATAATACAGATATTCAGTGGTACTTACACACCTTACAATTGATTTATTGCTATCATTGGTTCTAAAAGTAAAAACTACCCTTCAAAATTAGAAGTTTGCTGTACATACAGTCGCGGAATGAAAAGGTTCGTCACCTTAGTGTCGGTTTTCGCTTGCACTAGGTACTGTAAGAGTCAAACCTGCCAACATAACCATGCAAGAAACAGTGCTGCTAACATTTAAATAAATATGACGTTTGCTAACGAATAAGGTTTTGCTTGTTTATTTTTCTATCCCATCAGTGCAATACAAATGTTACAAAATGTAGTTTTTTTATTTAATAGTAATGACAGGTTGAATCAACAAGAAGGTTTTAGTTTATCAATCATTATAATCTTCTTGACAAGTTAAACCGTCTGCTCGTTTGTCTCATGTCACATAAAAAAAAACAACTTTGATCTGAATAATTTTGAACTTTACTGACGAACAGTTAAAGATTATTTTCTTTAACTCGAGATTATTCTGTAACATAGTTTCAAAAGGTAATATGTGCTCGCGATTCGTTGAAGGAATCAATTTGAAAACTGACGAACCTTTTCATTCCGTGACTGTACATTTACTATTATTTGTGTGTACCACTGATTTGCTGCACATAAATATACCCCCCTCAATTTAATTTACCTCCATTATAGTGAACATTTTCTATTCGTCTGTCAATAACTTGTGATTGTTACAGGGGGTATATTTAATCAAAAAAGTAATTAATTAATTAGACAATTAAGAAGATTAGAATGTTTTAAGTAAATATAAACTCTTTATAGTAAAAATGTGAAAATAATTTATGCTGTATTAACTTAGTGAATAGTAATTAACTTTAGTGCATTTAGCGACTTCTTCAAGCACATGTTCAAATCAATTTGTTTAAGTGTAAGTTAACTCCAAGGTAAGACAACTAATATCACACTTTTGACAGATCAAACAGCATCACTCCACATTGTCATAAAAGTAAAATACATATTTCTAGACTTAAAAATATTATTCGTGATATTTCATCATTCTTTAAATTTTTACTCCATTCAGTCTTACTGTATGATAAATTAAATAGTTCAAATCCAAATAATTATTTCTTAGCTGGAAATCTATCTAGGATGAAATATTATTCCATTTATAAATTTCTGAAACTGAGTATACATATTATTAGGAACAAGAACTAATAATAAGTCTTTATCTTTACCTATAAAATTGCCGATTTTTTCTTTAAAATGTATGAGTTTTATAATTATAATTTTAGTAATTCAGTAGCTATTATTCCCATTATTTATTTTTAGGGTTCCTTATCTAGAAAAGGAAAAAGCGAAACCCTTGTACCACTATACTTATAGCTCTTTGTTGTCCATCTGTCTTATCAACAACTTTTTTCTCAGGAACGCGTGAGGTAGGTATCTAGTGTAACCTATGTCTGTGGTCCTTTGTGGTCCTAAAAAAATCAAGTTATTTCTTTCTTTCTTTCTTAATTTAACTCAGCCATTGTTTCTAACACTTGCTGTCAGCTATTTTCTAACACTTCGTAAGGGAATCAACACCTAGAGGTTACTTTCCATAGACCTATAATCATGAAAAGTTTTGTTTTGTTATCCTCAAAAAATCATATTACAAACTAGCAATTGGGAAGCTAATCGCGATCTATGTTGATGTATGGAGACAAAATTTACATACTCAAAACGGAACCCTCCGTGCGTGAGTCCGACTCGCACGTGACCGGTTTTATTACTTTCGAAGGCGATTTCAGGGAATTAAATCTAGAAATAGTATTTTAATATTATTTTTACCAATACAAAACGGCAATTTCATAAGTAAAGACTTTTTATCATAAACGGCATTGGCAGTGTTGCTTTTAAAATTGCATTATGTTATGCTAGCGTAGTGTTGAGATCTTTAATATCAAAATTATAAAGTTTCAAAATAATACAAACTAAAAATCAAAGTGATGTCTATAATAACAATGATATGCGTTGAGCAAGCGAAGTTACCCTTTAATGTATACCAAACGCCTATGCTGGAAGGACGCTTTGGCGTTGGGGCTCTTATCCTCCTCATTACTACTTCTTCACTTCACTCAAAGATGGGTGTCCCGATATGATGAGCATAGATGAGGAGTATTTACAACGCGAAGGTCGCGTTAACGTCGAACGATGACCGGTTACTAGGAAGAGGAGCATGCTATGTAATGCAATCATGAGGATGGAATAATTTCAATGTCACAGGAGCTCATATGGCATACATTGGTATGTGGAGGACCTAAGAGCCCCTGACTAGCGTTCCTTACTATGCTATGCACAAAAATAATTGACTGGAAATGTTCATCCTAGCGAATTTAAACTATTTTGCTTCAAAATAGGTGTGATGCTGTTTGTAAAAATATTCAAAGCCGATAATAATAATAATTACTTCGTTTATACTAATCCAGACATTGAAAAAGACAATTCGCTTTGTAATTGTGTATTCGCTTCGCAAAGCATAAAGTGGCTTAACATGCATACTTGATAGCATTAACTTTAACTGACATATTTACATGATTTTAAGGTTCATATTTTTAACGGACACATTAATTCAAAAAAGTACATGGCTTTGAAGGTTTTCATGTAAGAAATGTGGTATTAATTATTGAGTAATTGGGGCACATCATAGTCCAGTGTAATATCAGTATTATTGCACTCAAAATTGCATCTTGCATTTTTTTTATTAAAAAAGATGTATTATGTAAAGTAGATACCTTTTAACACTTCAAGCAAACAAATCAACTCAACGCTTCAAGTAATTTTCTTTTCAATATTTTTACTTTATATAAAAACTATTATTTATGTAAAATAATAGATAGTACCGTAAAAAATATTGCTACTTATTGGTATGGAAAATTTCAGCGGACTGTCTTAGCAATCTATTAAAAAAATGTATTCTAATTGATAAATCCATACTAATATTTTATTGCGAAAGTTAGTCACCGAACCAATTTAGAGTGAATTTAGTATGGAGATAGATTTCAGGGTTCCATACTTCAAAAGAAAAATGGAACCCTTAGGGGATCACTTTGTTGTCTGTGTTTGTTAATTTCTTTTATGCACAGAAACTATGGAAGTATCAAGTTGAAATCAAAATCAAATACTTGTCTGCCTCTTGTAAAAATCTTTTAAGTCAACGCAATCCAAAGATACAACCATTTGAGCGTTATTTTCAAACACTTCACAGGCGATTCAAAACCTATTGGGTACTCTCATAAGACCTACAATCATATGGCAAGAAGCAAGGTCTTACAAAACAAATGAAGGAAAAAATGTTCAAATAAGAGTAGTTTCATCAAAATCCGTTCAGTAGTTTTTGCGTGAAAAAGTAACAAACATGTTGACATTCAGACATCCATACAAACTTTGGCATTTATAATATTAGTAAGAAGATATTTGTGACAAGTGTGATTCTCTTGGTGCGGGAGTCTTACTCGCACTTAAAAGGTTTTTTTATGTAGAGGGTACGCATTATTTCACTTTCTGTCACATACCGAACTTTACGTACGAAGTCACGGACAAAAGCTATACCTTCTAAATCCATAAAACGAAATTGCTCTTAAGTTTCATAGTACAACAAAGAATTATTTTAGAATTCAATCAAACAGAAAATTATAGACACAATAAGGATGCACGTCTACTGTGATACAGGTGACGCAGGGTGAAGCAGAACAGTTGGCCATCAAGCAAATCAAGGCCTTATTCTGTGAGCATAAGGTGCATAATTCATTGATGCGAGTTCAGCAACCGGCTAAATTGATAGCGGTAAATGAATTATGCACTGTATGCCCGCGGTATTAGTATCTCATTCGCTTGGCATTGATGTTACTTGCGCTGCGTCGCATGTATCTCGTAATTAGGAATTACAGAATCTTTTTACAATAGTGAAATCAATGTAAAGCGTAAGTTCCACGTTTTAAAAGGGATAGATATAATATCTTTTATGCCTGGGTGTCGAGTCGATTTGGATGCATCTTTTAAACAATAAGGACCATTCGTCGAATCTACTATAGTTTGCAATTCGGAATTTTGAGTGGCATGATGCACGAACAGTTAGCAGCAGATGAGCCGACATATTTTCTAATGAAACGTCAACAAATGCTTTACAGGTGTAAGGGAGATGTTGGCGAAAACGCTAGGTGGATCTTATTTCCCAATAATTAAATTTTTTTTTTACTAATACTTTTCAATCTCTCAATATATGACTGATTTCGGTGTGCCAGAGTAATTTACAGCAATTTTTTAATCTTAAAAACATTATTTGCAGTCATCGAATCACATTTGCAGAAAAAAAACATTCTAATTCGTAATATTGACAAAATATAATTTGTAAAAACAAGTTAAAAAATATACATTCTTATAGGAATACATTTTACATCTACGAAACATGATCTGAACTCAACGTTTTCGCCAAAACCTCACACGTTGTTTACCAGCGAGGTAGGTTTGCGGTGAGTAAGAATATAATGTAGGATGTGTAGCTGACTGCGTACCTGCCAATTCCAGGAAAGACCTGATCAGCGCCATGAAGCTGCCAGACTCGGAGCCACTGACGCCGAGCGAGTACTGGATCATCACGGACACGTGGAAGCAAGACTGGGAGCGCGGCGTCCAGGTGCCGGTGAACCCCGACTCGCTGCCGGCGCCCGTCGTCCGCATCATCGACAATCCTCGCCCGCCTGACTTCAAACCGTTCAAGTTGTGAGTTACTCGAAATCATTCGCCAAAATACATCGATCGTCCGTGCGAAACAACCCCCCTACACAAAGTTACAAGCCAGTTTTGAATCTGATACTGTTTTTGTATGCAGCCACTGCGCTCTGGGAAGCGACTCCGATTTTAAAACAGATGAAAAGTATGCGATTTTGTATAGGGGGTCTGTTACTAAAGCTATTTATAACGGATCTCTCTTTGTCTAAAACGTCCAATGTTGACGAGATCTTATTTCTTTGCATGCATACAGTAGGATTATTTAACATGCATGGCTTTTAAAAAATATTAAACCATCAACAAGTAACATTTACCACATTTAATATTCATCATCAAAGTCACTTGAAATTCATGCCAAAACCACAGTGCAATTAATGGCACAGCGCATAACAACCGCAACAGGAGAGTGACGCGACAACGCCAAAACTTATGCCATGTTTTAGCTCCGCGATCCACAGGTAGAAGTTTAGGTTAGAGCTAGATTTGTGATGTGAGAGCTCGCTGCATACTGGCTACGAATTAATTTATTTTGGTTCAGAACTTTACTTAATCACGGCAACTATCTGCTGAAAAGGCGATTATAATTGCTAGACAAACATTTCTGCTAATCTAAAGTGTTGTAACACCGAGGATATGGATGACTTAGTCTTAAATGGCAGGAAAACGAAAGAGTTAATTAAACTTTACATTTAGAAAGAAAATACTGACTTTGCTGTGATTATTATCTTTTCGTAGGGTAACGGGCATCTATATAGGTTATTTTAAATGCAAAGTTTTCATGAAACCATCCCAGCATCCTAACAGAAAGTGTAAAATATTATTGGATGTGTAATTTTTCTACTTTGTATGTTGGGCAACTTTCCACAACTGTCAATCACTGCACAACAGCATTTCTGATGATTGGGTTATGTTACATGATATAAGTCCAATTTTTAATGACGATTTGCGCGAAATGTCTGACAAAAATTTGACACTTGGGTCTTTTTGTAAAAAAACAAACTTTTTTAGAGATGTACCTATTTTATGAAGTTGTTAAGTTGAAAAAACTTTTTTTATTTGACTTCCTTGCTGAAGCTGAAGGCAGCCAGCTCTTTTGAATGCTTCAACAGCAGTCAGCCATCATGTGTGCATTCCAGTGGCCCTGATAGCGTCCATCTATCGTACAAAGGCCCTGGTGGATTTGCTCGCCATGTTCTTCACTTAGATCCTTAAGAGTTGTGAGAAAATTGTTCAGGTGATTGCGAAGAGAGTGTAATTTGATGTTTAGTCCTCATCCAACCAAAACAACATGCTTGTAAGTGACTCATACGCTGTTCGATGTGTAAGAATAGTAAGATTTTTTCGGATTTTCCAAAAATAAAATGAATATGCCAAAATAACTCCGATGATGTCCGATGTCCGAAACCGAAGAGGTGCTGATATCGACAGCGACCATTACATGGTTGCTGCCGAGCTGCGCCTCAAGGTAGCGGTAGCACGACCAGCTGGGGGACCGGACAGGATTGGGAGAAGGTTCGACGTAACTAATTCAGAAACCCTGACATCTGCACCAAGTTCAGACTCGAACTACGAAACCGTTTCTCTGCTCTTGATGACGAGAAAAGCTTAATAGACGAAAAGTGGAACCATATCAAAGTGGCCTACACAGAGACCAGCTTTTCCGTCTCGGGTCACACCACGCACACGCGCGAGGACTGGATGTCACAATCCACATGGCAGCTGATCAACGACCGGAGAGAGCTGCACCTAAAGTTGCTACAAACCACCGACGTACAACTTATAGCCACCCTCAGACAGCAGCAACGTCAGATGCGCAGGAAAATCTACCGCAGCACGCGGAAAGACAAAAGACTGTGGGCTGACGGGGTTGCTGATAATGCCCAACTCGCTGCTAACACTGGCAATCTGAGAGAGCTGTACAAAGCGAAAAAATCTTGGCAGGAAGTAGTAGACCAAAGAAGAAGCCTCTTAAGTCCAGTGACGGGCAGCTTATTGTGACGTCTGAGGGGCAACTGAAACGATGGCGTGAACACTTTCAGGAGGTCTTCCGCCCTACCTTGACTACAGCCACCAACACGCCTGAGCCACCGCAGCACACCTCTACTCCACCTAGGCTGCTCGACATCAATGTGAAACCACCATCACGCGACGAAGTGGCCAAGGCTATCCTGTCCCTCAAAATTGGCAAGGCCCCAGGACTCGACCTTGTCACCGCAGAAATGCTGAGAGTCGACGTAAACTCCGCCGCCGACGTCCTGACACCTCTCATCGAAAACATCTGGATGGAAGAGGAACTAACTCCCAGACGACTGGAATAAGGGGCTTTTAATTACTGTGCCAAAGAAAGGGGACCTAAGCCAGTGTAGCAATTGGAGAGGTATCACTTTGCTCTCGATACCGTCAAAGGTTTTCTGCAAGATTATCTTGGATAGGTTATCGGGGGCCGTTGAACCTCTTTTGCGTAGGGAACAGGCTGGCTTCCGCCCGAACCGCTCGTGCACCGACCAGATCAATACTTTGCGTATCATCTTGGAGCAGGCATCAGAATGGCAAAGGGAAGTCTATCTTACCTTTGTAGACTTTGAAAAAGCCTTTGATACGCTAAAGTGGGCAAGCATATGGTCGCGACTCGCTGACATTGGTGTCCCGCCGAAAATTATCGATCTATTGAAGGCCATCTACAAGAAATATTCTTGTAAAGTCACTCACGACGGCCTCATCTCCGAAGACATTGAGGTGCATGCGGGCGTCCGGCAAGGCTGCCTGCTTTCGCCGCTTCTCTTTCTGGTAGTCTTGGATGGAGTCATGTGTCGTGCATATCAAAACCAACGGCGTGGAATAGAGTGGGGTATAATCGGAGTCTTAGAAGACTTAGATTATGCCGATGACCTCTGTTTGCTGAGCCACACGCATCACGATATGCAATCCAAAATTGATGACCTACATCGAGAGGCGGGCATCACGGGGCTCAAAATTAACTGCCGGAAGACCCAAGAGATGCGATCTGGAGTGAGGAATTGCACACCAGTACGGATTGGTGCAGAGGATGTGGAACGTGTCCACAATTTTACCTACCTCGGGAGCGTCGTGTCAGAGACTGGAGGTACCGAAGAAGACATCATTTCGCGCATTGCCAAGGCTAGAGCCACCTTCGCAAAACTTCGCCCCGTATGGAAGTCACGGAAACTGACCCGAAGGGTCAAGATCAAAATTTTTGGGTCCAACGTTAAATCCGTGCTGCTCTATGGGTGTGAAACGTGGAAGGTCACCAAGATCATCTCGCACCAGCTGCAGGTCTTCGTCAACCGCTGCCTTCGCCGAATTCTCGGAATATACTGGCCTGAGAAAATCTCCAACGTCGAGCTATTGGAACGTTGCCACGAAATTCCGATCGACCAGCAGATCAAGCGCCGCAAGTGGAACTGGATTGGCCACACTCTCCGAAGGGATCCCGATCACATCCCCAAGCAGGCTCTGGATTGGAACCCCCAAGGAAAACGCAAGCGTGGTCGCCCCAAGCAATCGTGGCGGCCTCGGCGAAGAAGATCGGCAAGACTTGGAGCGAGATCAAACACATAGCTCAAGACCGAACGCGATGGAGGACTGTTGTGGACGCCCTCTGCCCCATCTAGGGGACATAGGACCATAAGTAAGTCAAAATAACTCGATTCCATGTATTTTCTGAAGACTTAAAGATCCTGGATCTCTGAAATGATCGTTTAAACCATCTTGGCTACATGGTTTTGAAATTTTCGGGTCACATTCAAAGTCTCTACCACAGTGCCAGTTTTCGCCTCAAAATCCTGTGAAGTATCAGCATGAGGTTCAAGTGACTTCTTAAGGTTGAAATGAAAAGACGTCTACATGTCAAACATATGCAAGGAATTACCATTTAGTTCAATTTTTTTTTAAATACCATTTCTGTTTAAAAATAAAAATAACAGTCGTCGCGATGGTTCAAGGGTTCCTTTCAGATCATAGCGGTTTCGTACCTAAATCTACACATATTCTTATTTGTTCACAAACGTAAAAACTCAACGCATCTTTTCACGCCTTTTGCGGAATTCAAGGCTTATCTATTATTTCCACTGGGTCACCAAACTAATTTTTGTGACCTAATTTTACGAACTTTGTCACATTTAAACGGATTATTTAAACATATCCTCTCCGCAAATGAAACAAAATTGGTTTAGATCATTCACACACAAACACTTCTTAATGCTACCATATTAAATTATACAAAGAAAACATAGTATTTTTTGAACTGTCGGCGAATTAAGACTGAAAGTTAGCAATTTTTGAGTGAAAGCTATAACACGTAAACAAGAGCTTCTACAAAAAAATGGAAGGCAGATTCAGAATCAGCGACGTCAAATTACTAAACATCATGTAATTAAAGCCAATCATCAGCCAAACGTTGCAATTTTGTTGTGCAGATTATTGATGCAGTTTTAACGTGTTTTTATACTTTCAGAGCCGGAGGCTCTTTGGAAAAAATAAACAACGTAACTTTTCCATACGAAGTGATGCCGTGGCACAGCGTTAAGTGACAACTATTAAATTATAGAAAAGTATCGCCGCGTTCATGACGCTCGAACTAAGTGATGTGTTGAGGCCTTAATGTCAAAACGTCAGTAGCACGAGCACAAAGTGGAAAATGATAAAACCTATAATCCACTTATTTAAAGCAGTTAAAATACCGTGTTTGTAATTGCTGTATGCATTTTAACAGCTGGTCTAGTCGTCCCATAATGTCAAAATTGAATTTTGCTGCCACGCCACGCGAATCATGTCATTAGTAGCTAGTGTCGGGCGTTCATACAAATTGACAAGCGCAATAGGTGCGAGTGAATCGCGTTACCGCGCGGGATTCGCTGGTCTTGCCGTAGATTTTGGTTGGTTAGCTCAGTTGTTTCAAAATTGTCGAAGCTTTTAGGATTATTATTTTAGACGAACAGGCAGGCCTACAATAAGTAGAATGCACCAATGCCTTGCATGTAAAAGATGTGTCTGTTTGAACAATATTTCAATCGATATTTAAGAAATATATGGTGTTATTTAACTTAAAGCATGCTAGCCAACTGCAGTGACCTTGTAATGCCTAGGTTTATATTAGGGGTGTATTTAACTAACTGGCGCCCCTTCAATTTTAGCGCTCTCAGATTTTATTATTGAATGACGGGAATCAAAACCCGTTTCCTCTTTGGATAATAGTTAACGATTATTTGCAGCCAGCTTTGCAACGTTTCAAGGGGGATATTAAATTGTAAAGTACATGCATGCATCAAAAGCTGGACCATATGGTCAGTTCACATGGAATTGCATAGTCGCTCTTTAAAAGTGGTCAACATGAAGGGAATAAGTTCATTTTGAGTTTCAAACTTGTGCGGGAATGATTATTTCGTTCGTTAGACTAACTGCACGCAGGCAGGTCATTATATCATTAGCTGATAGAAAATGCACTTTCAAAGTTGTTTAAAGAGCTTCGGTTTTTGAATAATGCATTAGTTTGAGTGAGCTCTTTATGACTTTCAGCTGTTAGGTTTCGCAGGGTTGTTTATTTAGTCGGTGGTTGTTGTGACGTGTGTTTGTTCTGCAGGCCGAAGGACAAGTACATTCACTTGACGCGGGACGCTTACTACCAGCCGGACAAGCACTGCCTCAGCACTACGCCCGCAAAGGCCGAGGCGGCTTGCGCGTACGACCTCGACGCGGCGGACACCGCGTGGTTAGAGCTGCTTAACCTCGAGCGAGCGAGGGCCGGCCTCTTCCCCATCAACGAGGACCAACTCGAGAAGGTCATCGAGGAGCTAGAGGTAAGTACTCGTACTCCTTAGTCACCGAAAGTCATCAACACATACGCATAATCTTATTGTGCGACAAGATTGGACAAATCGCCAGTGCACAAATTGCCGGATCTGAATTGTGTAACCGCTGAACGTATGCGGTAATCATTCTTTCCTGTACGATTTGCAAGGTCTGGATTGTGTTTGATAACAAAAATAAACACACAGAAGACTTATTTTTCGTCTTAGCTGTAGAAAAATTCTTAGCAGTAATTGAACCACAAATTGCACGTCCTAAATGGATAATGGCTTTAAAATGTGTTGTTGTACGAAGTTTATCATCATACCTCCTAACGGTCAGAGATCATAATTGATTAATAAATAAATGTACTCCCATATCAAAATTGTACACGCGAGTGTTGTCGTTATATCTGTTTGTTACTCCAAAGGTCACTATTAGAACTAGATGCTAGAAATAGAACTGATGATGATGGCTACGATCTCCTTCATGTCCACACGAAGCCTCTCACTAAGCTCAAAACATGGCGTGCATTCATTCAGTTAATACAAAGTGGAGTCGCGCAACTAAATATAAATATTTTCTAAAGTGCCTACTGAAAAGTATTTGATTACGACATTGAAAAATGTACGTTGGAATCGGCTTTAAGCCTGCTCCGAGCTCTTTGCAAGCTCCGTGTGTGCATGAGCGCTCGCTAGGGAGGCCAAACAAGCGCGAATGTGTTGGAGTTTTTTGAGTCACGTTATGAAAGACTTTCAACACATTTTGTGTCGTTGCCTTTTCTAAATTCAACGGGAATGCAACGCGATGTTACGCTAGTTGAAGAACATATTTTTATCCTTCACTCTGTGAAATTGCCAAATTAGGTCACGCATATTTTTTTGCAAATCGAACGATTTGAAGTACAGATCAGCATGCCTACCATGAGTTTACGTTAGGTGTGCTCGCTAGCGACTGCGTAAAAAATGACATTTAAATGTATGACATATTGTGCAGCTCCCCTAGCGGCTACTTTCAAGAAATAAAATCTTCATAGAATTTTTTGACGTATTCGCTAGCGAGCTCACCTAACGTAAACTCATGGTAGGCACACAGATACTATAAGTGAAAAAGACATGAAAAGTACTGTCATTCCTTCCAAAATATACGTAGGGACTAACAGATTATGTTACTTACCATAATCTTCCAGAAGTAAGTTGAATTGTTTCGTTGGATATAAAGTTGTATGCCCGCCATTGTAGCAAAAATGATATTGCACTAATTTTGTTTTATTTACGTACAAACTAAACCAATAAGTAACACAATAGAATAGTTTTGAGTTTAAAACAGAAAGTATTCTTGTGTGATGTCCCTACCTCCGCGAGCAACAGGTAACCGTCGCCGAGCGTCTTAAGTTTTAGATAAAAGCACCACAAACAAAGTTTCCACTACAATAGATAAACTACACAATATATTATTCTCAGACGTGTTGTTTCACTTGTACATAACAATTTTACTGCCCAAAAAGGAACTCGAAAACCTTTTATTTAAAATGACAGTAAAATTTGTGCAAGCCTTTCTCTACTATCCATTTTTTATCTGTGATTGCCATATAAAGCTTATTGATCCAGGCCCGGGTCGAGTGACGTTCCGATATACCTAGCAAAACTTTCGATGTAAAGTAAATAACCGAATACGATGTTAAAATTCACGCAAAAATAATACAAATTAACTATTTCTAGTCGATATGATAATATTTTAGCTTTTTGTATCATATTTATTCGAAATACATTGATTTATATACTTGACCTATATAAATCCAAGTTTCGCGCTCAAATACATACGTTCGGAAACAAGGATGCTGCGTTGTTTGATGTGCGGACCCCTAGGCCGGCGCGTGGCCAATATTGATCCCGAGGCTGCATTTACCTATGTGCTCGGTACATGGCTATGTATTGCAGTCTCGGCAAAGTGATTTACGACTCTCGTTTTCACTATCGTGTTATTTCCGCAGTGTTTTGGACTTCCAAAGTAAATAGTAATTGTGAGCCCACTTGTTGATTGTTATATTTGTGTTGATATTTAGTTTTCAAAGATTCAAGATGCTACGACGTACATGATTGGAGCACCAAACAAAGGTAACCATTTTATCGTCAGTGTTCATTTGTGCATATTTAAATGTTAATTATGCGTTCGAATCATTTAACTATTAACTTTTGCTATGTTGATATTATTAAGTTGAAAGTGCGATAGCTCCCGTGATAAAAGTGAACCGTATTGCGTGTTTAACATGACGCCATTCTGCGTCTTCGGCAACGACAAATAGAGTCCAACAGTTTCTTTGCTTACAAGGATTTGAGGGTTCCTTTTTGCTTAAAATGTGATGGTGATGAGCACTTATTCATAAAAACCTACCAAAACTTTCATATTAGTGTTCAAAATGGTATCTTGTTGTAATTATCGATTGACCTAATTTAGGTCATATGCAACAGTGCCTGCATTTAGGTCACCTGGGAGTTCTTTTTCAAGTCGTCAGGTATTCGATACACATTGACGTGCTATATCGAGTATTATCGTTGCATTAAACTTCGCGGGGACATTTTGTCTTAGTGAATACTACATATAAAACTTTAAACAAAGACATAACATTTTCACGCGTTGCCCGTGGTCTACTGGTAGTATCACAGGTAATTAGGTATTTCGGTGGTACAACTACTCAAATAAATCATATTACCTATAGAGCTATTGGTAGGACAACTGTAAATTATTTGTTCTGTGTTTCCGTCAGGCAGGACTTGAGCATTACATGTATACGATCTTTTATATACCCTAGATGTACTTCTGTACAGGTTTTAAAATAAAATAAAAGCTCTTAAGTTGTATGCTCGAATCAGTATCACAAAAAACACCATGATGGAATTAGACTTAGAATCTGGTCCTTAGAATATTTGGAAGGCTCATACTGAGGGTCAAGGGCATTCCGCAGGTGTTTTTGTCATATTTTTCCTTGACTTGATATAATTAATTTTATTATCGAGAACAACCGTGTCATCACAAACCGGTAATGCAAAAAACGGAGCATGCAAGTTAGGTCCGCGCGACTTTTCTTCACTTTCTCGCGCTCGGGAACTTGTTTTGGTGCATCAACAGATGTCATGATTTGTTTTTTATAACTCTATGTACTGAAAATCGCAATACGCATGCGTGGACATTACCGACCAAGATGAGGTGAGAATGATTGATTGAATAAATGTTAGTTAGTGCCAAACAAAATGGAGATAGTTTTTAGTGACGAATCGCGTTGCATTGCAATAGCGATAACATTGTAAAGAAGTACCCGTGGTGTGATATTTATAGGTCGGATTCAATTCGCGTAGTGCAATTTTGCGATCAGCGTGCACCGCTCAAGGAGTAGTTATCGGTATTATTTAATAAAGTCTGATCCACCTCTATCGGCGGCTTCCTGTTTAACGGCCGGTGCCGTTTGAGCCGCGGTGCACTCAGCGGCCCATCTGTATTGTTATGTCACTAGATGATTGCTACTAGGTATGTTGTAAATATAATTTAGTATATTCGTAGACTAGTATTATATCTATACTTTACTATATGCTCTGGCTGACAATGCATCAGAGATATATGAAGGGATTTGAAATTTGAAACATGAAGCTTTCGTGGTGTTGCCGTTAAGAGAGGTTTTCATACATTGGGCAATTATAATTTGGGCTTTTGTGGCATATGCCTTTAAGTTAACTGAAAAGACTGCATATCAGAGTGACCTATTTCGTATATTGTTTCCTTTCCGCGATTCTCCTTGTGAATCACTATATTGGCAATTAAAATGGCGTGCTAACGGCATTCTGTAAATATTGACATCCCAATTTTAGGGAACAAGCCGTGTTTTATAGTGCACGTCAGCGCAATAGTTATGTACCCACCTGTTGGAGCTGGGTAATCAATAACTTGTTAGCGCCACTCTAGTCACCCTTCAATTAAAATTTAATTTGATTTTAAAATATATTTAACGCTGTGAATATATTTTAATGGCCAGATTTTTTTTGCTATGCTTCTGACCTAACCTTTCGACTTATATGCTTTCGTTACGTTTCTAGTCTCGGTCGGATATTGATGTGATGATAAATAAAGTGAATCGCATGTTATAGGAAAACTATTTTAAGACTGTCGGGACAATTTCCTCCCACCTTATGAGAAACTTGTAGAAATAGGTACAAACGGATAACCGAGAAAACTTAGTTTGCAAATACGACTTTTATATTTGAAGTGGTTTTAAGCACACTCTGTCTTATCTCCATTATTCAGACAAGAAATGAAATCAGCGTTGTGTTGTTTTTATACCAACCACGTCACGAGATTAGTGGAAGTCCTTTTAGAGAGCTGTATTTAGTTTTTCTTCTTATTTCCTTATGTACAACTATTTGAAATACAAGGAAAGAATGAAAGGCGTGAGCGTTGCAAACGAAAGGACAGAAATTTTGTTAAACGCGCTAATGACCTAGCTTATGACGTGGCGTCAACATAACGGATCCTACCTATTAGTACCTAAATAGCTATGTATAAGTAAATATGATATTAATTCGTACTCAACGCCTTTGTTGCATCGGCGGGGATAGAATACGAGACCGCATCTGTCGCAGTCCGGTATGCAAATCACGAGGCTGGCGGCCATCAACAAAAACGATTAACGGCTTCAAGTAATGAACGAGATGCAAGTACCTTGGAAGATTTTTAAAGGACAATTTGTCAGTTTGCTAAATACCAAAAAAATACATTTTTGATTTAACTCGAAAATATTTTAGCTTGGGTGCGAATTTCATCGTCATACATGAATCTCAAATTTATAAATTCTGCTCATATTCACTCATATTCCGCCGTGCAATATCCTTAAGTAAAAAATAAGTGAAATCGTTACATTAGATAAAATTGTAGGTCGACGTTATTGCATATCTGTCAGCAGGAGCGCCGTGATAAGTGGCGCGGTAAAATGCTTTGAGCGCCAAGTGCTTGAATCTCGATC